GTATTGGGGTATTTTACATATATTTTATTGATTATGCTATTACAGTTGTCCCAATTTTTTCCCCCTTTACCCCCCTCCGCCAGGTAACCCCCTCCCCTCCAGCAATTCCCCCCTCCGCTTATCATGTCCATGGGTCATGCATATAAGTTCTTTGGCTTCTCCATTTCCTGTACTATTCTTAACATCCCCATCTATTTTGTACCTACCAGTTATGCTTCTTAATCCCTGTACTTTCCCTCTTATTCTCCCCCTTCCCATTCCACACTGATAACCCTCCAAATGATCTCTGTATCTATGATTTTGTTGCTGTTGTAGCTGTTTGCTTAGTTTGTTTTTGTTTTTTTTAGATTCATTTGTTGATAGCTGTGGGTTTGTTGTCATTTTAATGTTCATAGTTTTGATCATCTTCTTTTTCTTAAGTAAGTCCCTTTAACATTTCATATAATAAGAGTTTGGTGATGATGAACTCCTTTAGCTTAACCTTGTCTGGGAAGCACTTTATTTGAGGAAGGGCAGTTTTTAGAGGAAGAATACTACAGTGAGTGAACTGACTTAACATGCAACAAAGGATACCAAATAAGCCAGACTTAGAACTTTATCTAAAATAAAAGTGTGCTCTGCGTGAGGGTGTTCCCCTATGAAGAAACAACATAAGGTTTGGCCCCACTATTTTGTGATATAAAGTTTGATATGTAATTCTCATACCATAAAATCTGCCCTTTAAAAATGTATAATTCGGTGACTTTTAGTATATTTACAAGGGTTCTGCAACTAAATTTCCAGAATATTTTCATCACCCCAAATGGACATCTCATACTCAATAGTATTCACTTCCCATTCCCTCCTCCTCCAGCCCCTGGAAACCATTAATCTACTTTCTGTCTCTATTGATTTGCCTGTCCTGGACATTTCATATAAATGGAATTATATATTATGTGACCTTTTGTATCTGGCTTCTTTCGCTTAGCATAGTATTTTCAAGGTTCATGCATGTTGTAGTATGTATCAGATTTATTCCTTTTTATGGCTAAATAATGCTTTCATTTTATGGATATACCACATTTTACTTATCCTTTCACCACTTGATAGATATTTAGGTTATTTCCACTTTTTAGCTATTAGGAATAATGCTGCTATGAACACTCATGTACAAGTTTTTGCATGAACAAATCTTTTGAATTCTCTTGGATATACGCGTAGGAGTGAAATTGCAAGGTTATACAGTAATTCTATGTTTAATACTTTTAAGAATTGCTGAACTGTTTCCCAAAGTGGCTGCACCATTTTATTGTATATCCCACCAGCAGTGTGAGGTTTCCAACTTGTCCACAGCCTTACTATCTTTTTGATTGTTTTGATTATAGCCATGCTAGTGGGATTGTGATTTTGATTTGTATTTCCCAAGTGACTGATACTGAACAAGTTTTCATATCCTTATTGACCATTGTGTATCTTCTCTGTAGAAATGTCCAAATATTTTGACCATGTTTAATTGGGTTGCCATTTTATTGATGAGTTATAAAAGTTCTTTAGATATTTAAGACACTAGTCCTTTATCAGACATGTGATTTACAAATAACCTTCCCATTCTGTGATTGTCTTTTCACCTTTTTGATGGTGTCCTTTGACCCACAAGTTTTAATTTTGAAGAAGTCCAATTTATCTATTTTTTTTTCTTTTGTCACCAGTGTTTTAGGTATCATATCTAAAAAAAAAAAAATTGCCTAATCCAAGCTCACAAAGACTTACATGCATTTTTTCATCTGATTCTTAATAGTTTTAGCTCTTATTTAGGTCTTTGATCTGTTCTGAGTTCATCTGTATACATGGTAGGAAGTAGGAGTCCAACTTCATCCTTTTGCATGTGGATATCCAGTTATTCCTGTATCATTTGTTAAAAAGACTATTCTTTCCTCAATGGATTGTCTTGGTACCTTATTTATTTTTTTATACTGTCTTACTTGTTTTTAAACTAAATTCCCTAGGTTGCTCAATAACTGACTGCACTCAGTCAAGCCTATGACAACAAATACATAACTAAATGTGGTTAAGGTGTGTGTGTGAAAAGCCCCAACTATTATCACCAGTTACTTTCATTTGACATAAACTAGGATTATTCTGGCCAGTACATTGGATACATTCACTATTTTGACTGTGGTGATGGTTTTATGGGTGTATATATAGTCAAACTTATCAAATTGTACACTTTAAATATGTGCAGTTTGTTGTATACCAATTATGCCTCAAGAAGTTTTTTTAAATGATTGATTTAAGAGAGAGAAACATCGATTTGTTGTTCCACTTGTTTACGCATTCATTGGTTGATACTTGTATGTGCCCTGACTGGATATCAAACCTGCAACCTTGACGTATCTGGATGAGGCTCTAACCATCTGAGTTACGAGGCCAGGGCCTCAAGAAATCTGTTCTTAAAGTGATATAACCTAGGAACAAGACAGTAAATGAAGTAACTTCTTTTCCTACTCAATTTTCAGGATCAGTTTCTCTGGTTGGGACTAAGGATATAATACTGACTAGTTAGTAACACTTGTAATTTTGTTAGGTAGGACAGATAGCAAACCAAAGCAGGGAGGAAGAGGGAGACAGATCTCACCCAAACACTCAGCAGCCCTGATCTTAATCCAATAGTATTGCCAGGTATTGTGAACATCACAAGAACCACCATACTAGCACAGGAGGAGGAGAGTGCTTGAAATTCTGTATGTGTCATTCCCACTATCTGGGAAAGAAAGTCTTTGAAATCGGGTATTCATCCCAAGATCCAAGATCTAGAAGGAGAAAAGATGGGGGTCCACAGTGCCCAAAGAAGCCCATAAAACAACTTTGGTTAATTGCTTACCTCTGGTCACTATCTGTTTTACAAGGGGGGTCCCTGGTGCTTACAGGAAGAGCCATAAAAAACTTTGGGGAACTGCTTCCTGTTACATACCTGTTTTACAAGACGCACAAATGTCGTCTGCAGCAAGATGAGAATTCTGGGCTAACGGACCCAAGACACCCCTACTTTTGGGTGGTCACATCCCCAGGGGGAAGCTGGCACCACCTTTACCCACCAATCAATATGTATCTCCCTGTCCCATCCCACCAACTACGTAAGTCCTCAAGACAAAGGACCTGATGCTCTGGCTGCCCTTCCCTTGCCCTGCCCCTGAACCTCTTCTGCCTTTCCAGGCCGCGGCTTCGGGCAAGGCCTGCTCTCTTCCAGGAGGGCCTATCCCTAAAAAACCCTGCTCGTTAACAGCCTTGCTGATCTGTAACCCTTTACTGCGTCAGGAAGAACGGAGTTTCTCCTGTAACACTTCTGCGTTTCTCTTAACCGACTTCATTCCGAAGTGCAAAGCAGACCACTTAAACTCAGTATTTGCCGGGCTGGGATCAACTCATCACTATGGGATAAGAATTAATGAGAGCTGGAAATGTGTTCCGAGTCTTCAAGGAGAGCATTTGTAAGTCCCCATCCAGGGAGAAGTGAGAGGCCCGGTTTTCCTTTCCCACCTGCTCCACGCCCCGTTTCGGCGGAGACTCCCCGTCCTTCCCCCTCGCCTCCCCAGCGCGGAGGACGGGAGAAGGCGGCCAGGCGCCCTCGGGCAGGGCCCGTCAAAGGCGGGAGTCAGGTCCCGCCTCCCCGGCAGCACCTTTTCCGGGACCCTTGTGGACTGAGGCGGGCGGCGACTGTTCCGCCCTCCGACTCAACAACTCCACCTCTTGAGACAGAGGCTGTTTTCTACCATTTTTCTTTTCTTTTTTTTTTTAAATATGTTCCACTTTTTTTTTTTTGGGGGTTAAATTTCTTTTAAGATTTTCAATGACAGTTCCCCCTCAGTATACTAGTTTCAGGCTGCAAGTTTTCTTCGTCTACAACCTTTTATATTTGGAAAACCAAGGCTGGGTGGTTCAGGAAATCTCTCATCCAAGACACGAACCTCGACTACTGTAGCGAGCATTGCGCCCAGGCCCTGCAAACCCGAAGCCAGCAGCCGCACGGTGTCAGGAAAATCGAGGTGGATTTCCTGCGAGACTGCAAGCGCTCCACTGGTTAAAAAGGGTCTCCGTGGATTTCACACGATCGCCACGATGCGTCTGCAGCAGCGCGGAAACCCCTGGCTGCGACTCCACACCACAGCCTCCTCCACGGCGGCCTCCCAGAACCGGGCTCGCCCAGGCGGGGCGCCGGCCCGGCGCGCGGGCCCGGCGACGCGCGCCGAGCGAGCGAAGGGAGCTAAAGTCAAGACCTACCTGAAGGGAACGCACAAACGCGGGAAGGGGTGTCCAAGCAGTGCCTGGGGGCGCTTCCTCCATTTCCCCTCTAATCTCCAGCTCTCCCTGAAGTGGCGATAAAGCTTTCTCAGCGGCGAGGCCGGCCCGAGAGACCGCTCGCCCGGCCCCGCAGCCCAGGGAGCACCCGCACGCGCCGGGGAGCGAGCGGCCCGGCCGCACCGCCAGGCCGGAGCGCGGGGCCGCGGCACGGGCTGCTCCTCGCGCACCCGAAGTGTGGTTTCTCGCCCGGGGAGGAGCGGGCGGCGCGGCCGCTGCCCCCCGCAGTGAGAGCCTGTGGCGTGGACCGCCGGGGGTTGCGGGCGGTGCTCTGTCACCTCGGCTGCCCGCGGGGCCCTGGGGGGGTCGCTCAATGCTCCCCTGACGAGGCAAGGGTCACTCCGCGAAGCCTCCCGCTCCCCTCAGCGGGTCGCTCGTTCTCCACAGCCCTCCTGAGGGGACCAATGCCCTGCCGAGGCCTGAGTGTCCCTCGGACCCCTCCCCGGGGCCGGGCCCCAGCCCCTCTGGAGGTGGGGGTCCCTGGTCCTCCCCGAGCCACCCCTCCCTCGCCCCCCGCCCATCCGTTCGGGGCGGCGCTCGTACCCGAAGGGAGGTCACGCGTTCGGCCGGGCCCCAGCCCCCGAGGTCCCGCACCGCCTCCTTCCGGGCCCTCCCCCGCGGAAGACGGCGCCGCTGGCCAGCCGGGCCGCCTGGGCGGGGCTCCGAGTAGCGAGGCGGAGGGGCGGGCGGGCAGCCGGTCGGCCCCACAGCGCGGAGCCCGGCGGCGCGGGCACGGCCATGGCGGGCTGCTGCTCGGTGCTGGCGGCGTTCCTCTTCGAGTACGACACGCCGCGCATCGTGCTCATCCGCAGCCGTAAAGTGGGGCTCATGAACCGGACCGTGCAGCTGCTCATCCTGGCCTACGTCATCGGGTGAGCGCGGCCGGGGACGCGACCCCCGGGCTCCGGGACCTGGGGGCAGCTGGCGGCCGGGGCAGCTGGCGGCCGGGGCCGCCCCCTCCCGGGGCCGGCTGTGCACCTGCTCCTCCTGGCCCAGGGCTCCCGGTCACTGGCCCGTAGTCCTGCGGGCGCCCTCCAGGAGGGGTCCAGGGGCCGCGACCGCAGGCCGGGACACACCCCTCCCGGCCCCCAGCGCCGGGGGACGGGCCCCGGGCCGGGCTCTGGACAGAAGACTGCTTTGATGTTGTGTTTTAAGGGCAAACCTTGTCTAGACCTTCATTCTCGCCTTCCCTGCTCTTGGTCATTCCGCCTTGCTCCGTGATGGCCTTTGGCTGGGGGAGGGGGAGCACTCTGCCTCAATGTCCCAGTCTTTGTTACTTCCCATCTGATGATCTGCTGACAGAAATCGGGGTTTGGGATTTCCACTTGGTTCCTTTCGGGTCTGTGGCTTCCTATCCCTTGACATCACGTGGTGTACCAATATAGTAGATGTCACACTTTCAGAACGCACTTAACGTTCTCTTCCTTCGTCTTAAGGGGTGGGTTCGTCACTCTCCGCGTTGCCCTCTTTGCTTAGGTATGCCCAGCCGCCCGCATTCCTCACCAAGCGTTTGATTTTCATTGAATGCACCCCTTGCAATCTAATAAAACCGGACAGAAGAGGTGGAAATGAGCTTACCAACTGAGCCTTCTTCCAAGACCCACGGGGGTGGTGTGGACAGCTGCTGAGCTGACAGATGTTATCTGCTTTGTCATTTCCTTTCTTAAAAGGCCTAATACAGCGGTCCCCAAACTACACATGCAACCATTTGGGGATTTTTAAAAAACACTAATTTGCTGCTGGCTCCCATCTCCAGACCTTCTGATTTCATTGCTGTAGAGTAAGACCAGCTCCCCAGGCGATTTTGATGCCCTGCAAAGTTTGGGAACTAGTATCCTAGTGTTTCCCTAATCTACCGGATCCCGGATCCCGAAAGACTCACCCTGAGGAATTGTTTTAAAGTAATCTGGGGTGGGGCCTGGAATCTGTTAACCCTACCCAGGGAATTTGCATGATCAGACAGGTTGGCCTCTGACGCTGTCAGCCCAACAGCAGCAGGTGCTGACCGTATTCAATAAAATGGTTTTCCAGATCTGTTCTCTATACCAAAACTACCTAGCCCACCCCCAGGTTTGGACTCAGTCTCATTAAGTTCCACCATGAACTCCTCACCTCCCAGTAATTGCGATGCACCCTACATTTTGAGCCGTGATGCTACCTGGTTAACTGAACTGACGTTGCTGGGTAGGATCTGAAGCATTTGGAATTGAGCTCTCACGCATCTTTTTCCTCTTTGCTTGCGTTGCTCATGCCAAGATCAGCTGACATCTTCCTAGGGTGTCTGAAGTTCTAGACTGCAGATAGTATAAACTTAGTCCCTCCTTATCCGCAGTTGTGCTTTCCAGTTTTAGTTACCAAGGTGTGGAAATTTTAAATGGGAAATTTCCGTTATCAGAAAGAGAGTGGCCACATTCGCATGACTTTGATCACAGTATACTGTTAGAATTGTTCTGTTTTATTATTAGTTATTTTTAATCTCTTACTGTGCCAAATTTATAAGTGAGCTTTACCATAGGTGTGTACGTGTAGGAAAAAACACAGTATTAATAGGGTTCAGAAACTACCCGCCATTTCAGGCATCCACTGGGGGTCTTGGACTGTATCCCCAGCGGGTAAGGGGGGAATATTATATCTATATCTGTATTGTACAATATGGGAGCCACTAGTCAATGTGGCTATTGAGCAGTTGAAATGTTCCTATTTCAAACTGAGAGGTGCTATCACTGTAAAATATACACTGGATTTCGAAGATATAGCACAAAAATACCCCAGTAAAATATCACACTAATAATCTTATATCGATAACATGCTAAAACATATTGGGTTACATAAAATATATCATAAAAATTAATTTCACCTTTTATTTTTTTAACATGGCTACTAAAAAAATTTAAATTTCATGTGTGGCTCAAGTTATAGTTCTTTTGGGCAGCACATCTTTCTAGAATTCCTACGAAGTGTTCTCTGCCTGATCATGAGGATTTTTTAAAGTAATGAATGCTTTGCTTTTATCCATCTTGCCACGATGAAAACTGACTCAGGATTTAAATTAAGAGATTTTTTTTTTTTAACCTCGTTTCTTAACTTCCTGATTCAAATCATCATGGTGAAATTGTGTTTTTTTCCTCATAGTCACCTATAGCAACTTTCTGCAAAAGGAGACTGAGCATACATTTCTAAATTATCTAATTCTGTTTAAGTCACATGATGAAGAACAGTTAAATCACATAATGATGTTGTGAAACCGAGCATCTCTTTAGCAATTTATTTTACCGATGGTAAAATTATAGTGACCTCCCTGCCCTAAGCTTCGACACATCTGACTAGAATTAATCGGAAGCTTTTGTTGCAGCTGAATTCCTGGAAACCCTGAAAGAAAAGGATTTGCTGGGGGAAAGCTCATCTCTAGGAAGGGGAGTGAATTTGGAGACAGCTCAGATCTGACAAACCCATAAATAAGTAACAAAAACCAGTGAATTTCTGAAGTTTCAGCATCTAGAGCTTATAAGGAGGAGCGAAGGATGCTAGAATTTCTTGATTCTAGAGAAAATAACAGTAGTCACTGGTAGGTGTTTAACAATAGCTGTGGTGGGGGAAGGAGTTCTGATTTATAGTGTGGGCCCATTTCCATTGTGTAGACATTCTCGTTGTGGCCAATTTCAGCCTGATGATGGTGACTCACGAACATTGTTCTAAGCATTTGGCGTGCCTTAACTGATAAGACCTGACAACAACAATCCTGTGAAGCCCTGTTATTCCCATCTTATAGCTGGGAAAGCTGAGGCACAGAGAGGTTAAGCAGCTGAGCCAAAGTGGCACCTAGTGAGTGGCAGAGCTGAGACATGAACTGGAGATCAGCGAGCTTCAGTCCCTTTTCCGGCGTACTAACCACTATGTGCTGATGCCTTTGCATTTTTAATTATCCAGACTGATATTAATGTCCCCACTTCAGAGGAAAGATGTGTGCTTTGAATTCTTGGAGAAAAAATTAAAATTACTGTAAAAAGCTATTTGTAAAGTGTATCTTTTTTTAAAAGTATAGCATAGAGGTCAAGAAAAGAGGCTTTAGAGGCAGAAGGCTTGAGGTCATCCTGATTATGCCACTCACTAGCTGTGTGACTTTGGCCAAGTGACTTAACCTCTCTGTGTCTCTGTTTCCTTCTCTGTAAAATGAAGATAATAATGAATACTTGCCTTACACAGAAGTCAGGATTAAGTTAGTTAATATACATAAAGAGCTTAGATCAGTGCCTGACACCTAAAAACACTCAAATGATGACTATTATTATGATAATTTTTATAATCTCTTGGTGATTCTGCAGGTCATAGTGCATTGAAAGTGCTCAAATAGCTAATAAAGCTAATAATACAGCATTAACTGGGCATTCTCTCTGTGCCAATCCTCGTGCTAAGCACTTTACTGGCATCATCTTATTAATTTCCCACAAACCACCCTGTGGTTTAGGTGCCATTAGATGCTCTTTTTTGCAGTAGTGGAAATGCAACCCGCCTGCCCACAACCCTCAAAAAGTTAGGTGGCTTTTGCAGCCACATCATTAATGAACGTGGGACTTTCAGCTTCTGACTAGGAGAGGCTCCCTAGCATCAGTTCAAATTCACCAAGTCCTATGGCAATTCAAGAGGCCTGTTTTATTTCGTAGGTGGGTGTTTGTGTGGGAAAAGGGCTACCAGGAAGTGGACTCTGTGGTCAGCTCAGTTACTACCAAAGCCAAGGGCGTTACTGTGACCAACACTTCTAAACTTGGATTCCGGATCTGGGATGTGGCCGATTACGTGATTCCAGCTCAGGTATGCTGTCCATTTCGACTCTGACGCTAAAGCCTCTAGCTAGCTAGCTCCTTGCTCTTTGCTGACCTTGCACACTTGATTAATGATTGGCATGGCCAGAGTTCTAACATCCCCAACGCCCAGACCGATTGTTTTAGTCCAAGAAATCAGTGCGCACAGATCTCCTTTTGGCTCCTGATCTAAGGGGTAATATTCAGCCAGCCATGTTTCTTCTGCTCTGAAACACGGCTGGCTTAGCCACAGGAAGCTTTCTGTGTGGGCATCTCAGTCTGTTTCGAGCCCAGAAAAGTGAAAAGGCAAATGTCTTCAATCCTGGGAAAAATTCAGGTAGGAATATCTCCTTTCCACATTTCATATTTGCTTTATAGTTGTCAGCCCACAAGGTGAACCTTTTCCAACAGCATTAAAAACTTTAACAGCAACTAGAGACGAAAAGCCAAACAGAAGGAAACAGACATACCCATCTAGGATTCCATCAGAAATCAAGAGAAAGGAAGAAAGGATCTGCTACGGCATCTTAGTCTCTAGTCTGTGAACCCACAAAGCTCCAGGTTAAATATTGACTCTCTTTAGCCTTGGTAGTGGCTATGCTCCTCACAGCCAAACCCCAGCACACCCCTCCAGATGGTACATGTGCTCAGGGGAGGCTTAAGTGCAGATAAGCTGTCAGCTCTTGGCTCAGAGCTCTGCAAGGGCTTCAGAAACTCTCTTTCTTTAAGTGTATTCATTTCCCTCCCTGCCTTCTCAAGAGGGGGTCTTGTGGGGTGCCCGGAGAGAAGACAGAGCTAAGGAGCCATGAAAGCCAAATGGAACAGGGGGTTCACAGTTGCTGGCGGTAGCCGGTCCTGTTGGCATACACCTGTCTCCGCAGAGACCTCTACTTCCTATCAAGTCACGGCCTCGTCCTAGCAAGCTCTGCGAATACCACCCAGAGCTTGTTTACCGGCACCAAGGAAGGTTCCTCAGTGGAAAGGAACACGCAGCCGCTTGCCCCTCCATCTCCGCCCTGGGGGCTGGGGGCTGAGGGAGTCCCACAGGGCTCTTCTCAGGAGTTTCCACAACATCCTTCTGCTTCTCCGAGGTTGGAACACAACCATCTGTGTGCATCCCATCTGCTTGGCTCATCTCCAGTGTGGAATTTCCCTAAACTTAGATAAGAAATAGGAACCAAAAAGTAAACCATGTTGAATTGTTCACAACTCAGGAGAGGTGGAGGGGCAGCCTTCGGTAAACACCATGTGTGTTTGCGCACAGAATACCCGGGCACCTGACAGGTGCCAGGAGGGACTCGGGCTGCCAGTCACCACCTCCTGCCTCCTCTGGGGCCATTTCCTTATCTCCCAACATGGTTTGTTCTACGCCTTTCTTTGGAAGATGTCAGCTGTTCCCAGAGCTTCCAACACCTTATCAGACCTAGGGGCGGAGATACCTGCAGACCCCTTGGTACTTGAGTTACTCTGATCCCCTTTGCGGCTCCCAGCGCTGACTTCACCCTTCCCGGGAGTAGGAAATGCTCAAAGCTTCTGGCTGGCTTTGCATGTTAGAATGGCAGTGTCCAATGAGCGGGGGGTCCAACTAGAAGTTTGGGGGTCTTTGTCTTTTACTCATTATACTAGGAGGTCATTATTAGCAATTCTTTACTAGCAGGCTCATCCCCCACAAATTGCTCTCAAATTTCTTAGAAACTATAATCAATCATTTGGCCCCTTCATAGTTCCAAGGAGAAAACAGAACTTTCTCAAAGGGAGAAGTGCGGGTGCTGACCCTCACCGAGTCTTCCCTGGAGCGCTTGCTTTATTTATTCTAATTCCGGTTAGGAAAGAAAACCAGCCAAACTGGAGACCTTTAAATGTTTTGTTTTGTTTTTTTCCTGAGTCAATCCGGTTGGCAGGGGATGTTTGGAGTACTTGTTGGCTCTCTTCCCTCAGTAAGTCAAGCTTTATTAAGGAACCACTTTAAGTTATAGACTTTTTAAAATTGAGGTGAAATTCACATATCATATTAACCATTTCAAAATGAAAAAATTCAGTGGCATGTAGCACTTTCATGATGTTGTGCAACCATCACCTTAATCTAGTTCTCAGAGGAAACCACGTAGGCTAAGTGGTCACGCCCTTGCACCCTTCCCCTCCCCCCACAGCAAACCACCAGTCTGCTCTCTGTGTCTGTGGATTTGCCTGTCCTGGACATTTCACATCAGTGGAGTCACATACTATGTGGCCTTCTGTGTCTGGCTTCTCTCACTGAGCTCCGTGTTTTGGGGTCCATCGCATTGTAGTGGGCGTCAGTGCTCCATCCTTTTTCATGGCTGAGTAATAATGTCCCGTCACACAGGAACAGAGCGCAGTGTGTGTGCACTGGGGTTATTTCCGCCTTTGTGCATAATGCTGCTATGAACATGAAGACACAAGCATTAGTTTGAGTCCCTGTTTGCAGTTAGGTTATAAACTCTTGGGAGCGAGTGGGAGACCCTAAGATCAGTCTTTCCCATCGTTTTCTGCATGCCACATGGGAGCAGTGAAAGGTACTGTCCCGTGAAGTGAACGCGCGGCTTTCTCTGTGGCTCTGCTGGGCTCCTCAGCAGGTTGCACAGCAGGGCTGTCTCTCCCTTCTGCCCTCTCTGCAGGAGGAAAACTCCCTCTTCATCATGACCAACATGATCATCACCATGAACCAGACCCAAGGCTTATGTCCCGAGGTAGGCAGCTTGGTGGGCGGAGCCTCAGGCCGCACCCCCGCTCCAGCCCTGACCCTTGGGGTATGAGGCTGGCCATGTGGCACGGTCTTCTTTTTCCAAGTTTCCAGATAAGACCACTGTGTGCAAGACAGATGCCAACTGCCCTGCCGGCTCTGCAGGCACCCACAGCAACGGTAGGAGCGTGTGACTGCGACCCCTCCGTAGACACCCTGGGGAGCGCAGCCCCCCACCACATCGCCTCCCCAGTGGGGCTCCTCTGAAAGAGAAATCGGGGGGTAAAGAGATCCCCCACATTCCCCGATGCCTTCACATGACCGTGGGGAAGCCCGCAGTCCAGACTGAGGTCCTGGGACCCTCTCAACAGTCACCTCTGTCATCTGTGCACCTGAAGCCACCCCAAATCATGCCCTGTACCGTGGCTTGGCGTCCCCCCGCCCTGCCATTGGCAAAGCAGAGGTCGGGCACCCATTCTCCTCCAACTGCAATTCTTGGACACTGTCTACATCTCAGAATTGCAACAGCCCAGGATGGAATGCACTGGATGCTGGGGGGAGGGGCGGGGAGGGAGGACTCCCACTCCCTCCTTGACAGGAAGGAAATGAGACCACCTGTGGGCCTGGGTCCCCCTCGCCCCTGTAGGAGTTGCAACAGGAAGATGCGTGCCCTTCAACAGCACGGTGAGGACGTGTGAAGTGGCAGCTTGGTGCCCCGTGGAGGATGACGCACACGTGCCAAAGTGAGCCCTGGCCCAGGGAAGGGAGGGACCTGAACTCTGGTTCTCAAGACTCAGGGGGGGCGGCAGGGGGGCGAGTGATGCCACTGTGTAGCGGCTTTGTGCTCCTGGCGTCTGTGTGGAGCCGGGCTACATGGGTTGGCGCTTCTCCACCACCAGGCGGCTGCCATCGACGGCAAGGTGGATCACAAGAGTTCATCAGGATAAGAGAGCATATGACTTTTTTCTGTGAGGATTCTGTCAGTTGCAGATAACCACCAGGAAACAGTTCTCCGTGCCTTAAGTCCATTACTCACAAAGAACAATCCCAGATTGTCACCTTGAGCAGACAGTAACATTATTACAACTTTTAGTAACGTTGTTTGACTTCATTATATTTATTTGAACACTGATCTCTAACTTGTGGCAAATGATGTTTTTTTATGGCCATGGCTGAAAGTTTCATTTCCAAATGATTATCAATAAAAGTCAGCTGATCCTAAAGGTGAAAACAATCCTAATGTCCATCAACAGATGAAAGGATGGATTGTAGTCCCTCCACACAACGGAATATAGTTCAGCCCTAAAGAGAAATGTCTGATCCATGCTACAACATGGGTGAACCTCGAAAACATTATTCTAAGTGAGAGCCACATATGAAACATCCATTCATGTGAAATATCCAGAATAGACAAATCCGTAGAGACAGAAATCAGATTTCTGGTTCCTAAGGGCTGAGGGAAGAAGAGATAAGATAGTAACTTCTTAACAGAGACAGGGTTTCCTTATGGGGTGAGGAAAATGCTCGGGAACTAGTTGGAGGCGATGGTTGCGCCACACTGTAAATGCACTAACGGCCACTGAAAGTGTCGCACACGAGAAGCACAGATGTGGGGGACAGGTGATAGTGTAGGGGACGACAAAGGGTGAAAAATCTGCTGTGACACGTGCCTGTGGTACAGGGATGAAGGAATCGGAAGCCCTGAGAGATGTGCATTGGTCAAGGCCGTCGGTGGTGACAGGCTCAGCCCTTCTCATTGCGTCGCCTTGTCACTGGCCTTGTTCCTGTCTCAGGGCTTGGAAGACTATTGTTTATATTTTCAAAGATGCCGTCAGCACCAGGGGGGCCTCTCCCATGGAGGGCTCAGCCTACAGTGCCGGATTCTCCTACAGGGAAATCCACCAAAGAAGGGGGGGCCCCCTGGGGACAGATTCCACTCATACTGGCAGCCAACAGCTGATGTGCCACTTCTAAGAAAAGGCTGGGGCCCTTCCTGTGTATTTTTGAGAGCTCAGGATCTATCCTCTTGGTGAATTGACCTTTGCTTTGATTTTTGCAAAACGAGGAACTGCTGAGCAAGCCCCGAGGTGGAAGGGCCGAGAGAACTCCAAGGCGGCCCCTGGCACCGCCCCGCCTCCGGTGCTCCTGTTCTGCTGCCTTGGGCAAGAGGCTGGGAGAGAAGAAACCTGAAGGCTTGGTCCCCAGTCTCCTCTCCTGATCTAGTGTTTATGCAGAGGAGAGTAGAACATGCTAGAAACATTGCACCTTATTTTTTTTTAAAAAACAAAATGACATTATAAGACATGTATGCAAAAAATATTGCATAGGTATGTGGGTGCACATATATTTGTGCTTATGTTAATACTAACAATATACTATAATTTTCTTCAGACCTGCTTTTTTAAAGGCTGCAGAAAACTTCACCCTTTTGGTTAAGAACAACATCTGGTATCCCAAATTTAACTTCAGCAAGTAAGTGGTGGCCGGCTGCGGGAGTTCACCCGTCTTGGAGAAACTTCTGGCTCTTCTTTGAGATTTCCCTCACTTCTATTTTCTGTCTCCTCCCAACTTCAGGAGAAATATCCTTCCCAACATCACCACTACCTACCTCAAATCGTGCATTTACGATGCTGTAACAGATCCTTTCTGCCCCATCTTCCGTCTTGGCAAAATAGTGGAGTACGCAGGGCACAGCTTCGAGGACATGGCCGTCGAGGTAGGCATAGGCACTGGCTTTTCTGAGACAGGCTCTGTCTGACACACCTCACTCCAGGACGGGCTCCCAGGAAAGCTTGTTTCGTCTCTGCTCGCACCCCGCAGGGCGGCATCATGGGCATCCAGATCAAGTGGGACTGCAACCTGGACAGAGCCGCCTCCCTCTGCTTGCCCAGGTACTCCTTCCGCCGCCTGGACACCCGGGACCTGGGCCACAATGTGTCCCCCGGCTACAATTTCAGGTGGGCATGAGCGTTGGCCCTGATTCTCATGTGCAGGGGGTGATGGTGGCTGGATCAGCCCCCGGTGGAGAGGCATCCTCACCCATCAAAGACCAGCGCTCACAGAGCCACCATGGGCAGGCGGGGAGCCATGTGCCAGGAGTATGTTCCCAGTGGGGCCCTGCACCTGTGGCATCCTGGCTGGTGAGGGAGCCCTCCTTGCCCTTTCCTGCCTCGGGAAATGCTGAGGCAGTTTGCAGAGCAACCAGGAGGAGCTGGCTGCTGCTGCAGCTTCCTTGGGCCAGCCTCCGCCGGGGCCGCTGCGTGCTACTCAGAGGCGTGGGTGAGCTTGTGGCCTCCAGTCCAGGGGCCTCTGGGGCCAGACCCAGGAATTGGTTTCTCAAAGACCGAGTTGGCCCTGGTCTCTCCCACGTGCAGAGGATACAGGTCTTAGCCTCAGGGGAGGCTTTCGCTGGCCTTTCTCTTCTGCAAGGCTGTGTGTTAGTTTCCTAGGGAGACCATGACAAAGTGCTACAAACTAGGCGCCTTGAAACAGCGGGAACTTACTCTCTCACAGTTCCCGGGAGCTAGAAGCCCGAAATCAAGGTGTGAGCAAGGCCAAGCTCCTTCCTTGCCTCTTCCAGCTTCTGGTGGCTCCCGACCATCCTTGGTGTGTTCCTTGGCTGGCAGACACATCACTCCAGTCTCTGCCTTTGTCGTCCCATGGCCTTCGACCCTTTGGCCTGTGTCTCTGTGCGTCCTCTCTTCTTATAAAGACACCAGTCATATGGGGTTCAGGGCCCCCCTTAATTCAGTAGGCCCCCATCTTAAGCGATGACATCAGCCAAGACCCTGTCTCTAAGTATGGTCACATTCATGGATTTCTCATGAATTTTGGAGGACATAATTCAATCCAGTACACAGCTGGTAATCTGATGAGAGGGCCAAGGGACCAGGGTCATGTCTGCCACTTTACTGAGGCAGTAAAACCTGAAGCCCTGCACATTTTCATGTGCCTTGTGTTGCTTCTTGCACACAAGTAGCCCCTGTTAAAAATAGGCCCTAGGAGGGAGCACGTGAGTAGGTCAGTGGTGCTGTTGTGTTGCATTTTGTCTCCCTCTAGTGGTGACAGGTGGAACCAAATACACGTGGGATCTACTATCCTTCTGAACCATCTGGCTCTGCTAGAAAGGCAGATGTCTGATTTTTTCCCCAGTAAGGGAGTTAGATTTGTGTTGCTCTATCTGTAGCCTTACACAGTTCTTGTAGAAACCGCTGGACTGGAACCCCAGCACGGAGAGAAGCCAATGGGACCCTCACAAGAAGGACGCCCCTCGCCCTGACCCCTGCCAGCACCAGGCCCTGCCTGAGTTTCAGGCCTGGACCATGACATGGAGACCGATCATGGGCCAAGAGTGTAGGTTCCAGTGGGTCCACCACATAAAGCACATCTCAGTGGTTCTCCCCCAGTCATTTCCTCTCGTGTTTTTTTAAAAGGCTTTACTGAGACATAGTTCACATACCACACAGTTCACCTATTTGAAGTGTAGAATTCAGTTGTTTTTAGTGTATTCAGAGAGTTGCGCAACTACCGTCAATTTTAGAATATTTTCATCACCTCAAAAACATTTCCATCACCGTACCCTTCAGCTATCACCCCTGTATCCCCCCACCCCAGCCCCCAGTAACCTCTAATCTACTTTCTGTCTCTGTGGATTTGCCTCTTCTGGACATTTCATATGAATGGAGTCATACAATGTGTGCCCTTCTGTGTCTGGTTTCTTTCACTCAACATCCTGGTTTTCTGAGATTTACCCATGTTGTAGCATTTATTAGTACTTCATCTCTTTTCATGGCCAAATATTCCATTGCGTGGACCTACCACGTTTATCCATTTATCCACTGGTGGATCAACGCTTCTTTAAAAGAAAGGTTGGAGCTGGCGCCGAGTTGTGCACAGTGTTGTAGTCCGGGCGTGGCTGCTGGCCGGCCACATCCCGTCAGTGGCCAGGGTCTCCCGGGGAGAGATGCGCGGCTGGGCTGCCAGGACGGAAGGACACTCAGAGCGAGAGGCTCTGGTTTAAGGCACCGAGGCAACGGTGATGACAGAGCAGGGAACTCCTCGTGTGCCCTCTTCGTCAACAGGCCCGCCCCCTGCTCTGCAGCCCCACGCGCTGCGAGAAGCCAGCACAGCAGGCAGAGTGAATCCCTGGCTACTGTGCATTCCACGAGGCCTTGGGCGCGGGGGGGGTTCCACTGTGACATCCTTGCTCAGGTCCCAGAGGGAAGATCTGGCCACGGCCCCCCACCCTGTGCCCTTCCCTCACCTGCGCTCCTCTCCCCAGGTTTGCCAAGTACTACAGCGACCCGGCTGGCACTGAGCACCGCACCCTCATCAAGGCCTACGGCATCCGCTTCGACATCATCGTGTTTGGAAAGGTAGCCTGGCCGCCAGCTCCTCACTCAGACCCTACGAGGCCTCTTCTGGGTTGGCCGGGGGTGAAGGATCCTCTCCCCGTTCTTTACCTGCCCTTACCTGCCCCTACTGCAACCCTTTTTTCCTGTCATTTACAGGCTGGGAAATTCGATATCATCCCAACCATGATCAACGTTGGCTCTGGCCTGGCGCTCTTAGGGGTGGTGAGTGACTAGGGCCTCTCTGTCCGCCCCCAGCGCTGGGGCCGCCTCAGTAGTTAGCACAGCCTGGGAGCCCCTCAGCTAACGGCCTGGTCCTTCCCCTCAGCCCTCGGGGCTTGTTTCCCTCCCCTCCCCATCCCCCGTCCACCTCCCCTTCCCAGGGACCAAGCCCCTTGGGGCCAGCCTTCTTCAGAGAGACTGTCTTTTCCTTGAAAGATCCCAGGCCCAGAAAAACAGGGACCAACCCATCCTGGCTCATTCTTTCAGGCGACAGTGCTGTGCGACATCATAGTCCTCTACTGCATGAAGAAAAGATACTACTATCGGGAGAAGAAATACAAATACGTGGAAGATTACGAGCAGGTGGGCCGCCTCCTGAACTCGGCAGGCAGGAAGGGCCAAGCGCCTCGTTTCCTGTCCCTCCGTCTGGTGGTGACAACCCTGAGCACTGGGCCTGAGGGGCCCTAACGCTACGGCTGGTGCTACTCCGTGTCGTCAACTCAGGCAGTCACATGCCACTCTTGTCATTTCTCGGCTCCACTTCTAGGGCATCTGTACTAGTACTTACTTTAAATGGACTCACGCTTTAAAACGTAGCCTCGTTTTAATTAGTAGCATCTCAGGTTAGCTACGATAATGGATATTAAGACAATATCAATGTCCGCGCCCTACTTAAATTCAGCTTGCAGAGTGAAGCGCGTGGGCACCATGCTTTGAGACCAGTGCATAAGGACCAGCGTGAGCGCGCCGATGTGCAGGGTTGCGCCAAGTCCTCGGGAACAGCGCCTGACTCTGGCCACCCAAACGTCCCAGGCCTGCCTGTGGGCAGTGCAGCATAGGGGCTTGTTTACCCTTAAACATATCGATTAACGACATGTGTACCGTTCTTTGCAGGGCATTGACAGCGAGATGGACCGGTGACGCCTACCCCACACCGCGCTCCCCACGGCCCTCATCGAAGTGGAGAGCACAGAGAAGGGAGAAAAGGCTGCCCTGGCACCCCACAGAAAGTTCGAGATTCCGGGTCAGCCTCCACTTCACAAGTACCTCAAGGCTGCCCAGCTGCTCCCGTGTCACGCGGATGGACGTGCATCGAAAACCGCCCTGTCCTTGGCTGGGTCGCCTTGGCTGTTCCTTCAGCTTGCAGTCCTTTGGGCGGGCTCTGGCCCAACAGCAGTGACGCCGCTGAGACGGCGGGGTTGGGGCCTTCCTGGAGGCTGCCCTCCGCAGCTGCCGGCCAGACGGGCCCAGCAGCTGTTCCATGCTTCCCGTGGCGCGCAAGGACACCTGGGTGCGGTCACCGGGCGTGTGGCGGACCCGGGCTGCCGTCCCGCTCCCCCTCCAGACTTTGTCCATGCAATCACGAGGCAGAGCTCATGTTTCTCTTTTGAGAAGAGGTATGTTGAGAGAGATGATCGAGGACCAAACATTAAAACAGGATTTTCCTAATCTTTGTCTGTGTGGTTTCATAGCGTGAGCTAGAACGTTCCTTCCCTAGTAAATCCACGTGCTGTGCCAGCTCACTGTGCAGTGAAAAGGGTCCTGAAACAGTCTGTTGCTGGAGCTTAGGCATCTTTTTCCTACCTTGCCTTTCTCTTAAAGGCCTAAGACTTGATCTTCATTCGGTTATATTCATATTATAGTTTACAAGATTTCTGTAGTGACGACTTGCCTGACCTGTGCTTATGTTTTACCTGAAATGAGGCACTACACACAGTTGAGGAAACACACCGAGAATGGCTTGTCCACCCCTCTCCCCATTTGCTTTCCAAAAGTCTCCAACCAAAAGCAGCACCACCTCCACCTGCCTTGCCCCTAGTTTGGAATGCTTATGAAGCTATTTCTAGCTTAGCCTTCACAGCTTCTTAATTCTGCCTCCGATGTTCAGGAGCTCCCTAAAGAAAGCAGCTTGCCCTCCTCCTCGTCATGAATTCACTTCCAAGTACTGAAGGAACAGTTTATTTTAGAAGTGCTCTGCTTCTGTTGGGTAAATGACCAATCTGGGCTTTTCTTGCTTTGAGGGGAAAAAGAGACTGACTGAATCCCCTTGAAAAGGCTCTGGTTCATGCTGCCTTTTTAAATTTAAAAAAAAAAAAAAAAAGGTCTGCTTGACCCCACGGCCCACACGGAGCTGGAATTTTTAGGAAGGGCTTCTTACCTTGCAGACTCAGGAGTGACGGCTACAGGGCTGGAGGAGGCTGCTTTAGCCCCCCCCCCCCCCCCCCGCTTTGCTAGGACAGAAGGCTGGGCCGGCGGGGGCGGGGGCGGGGGCTGCCACGGTGTTGCTTATTTTATCCACCAGTGTCACCTTGCTCTCAGCTACATCCCCACTTGTTGGCTCTGCCTCTTAAGTAGGGACCCGTGCATCTAGGGATGGGCTCCCTGGAGTCTCTGGACCCCTAAAATTTTGCAAAGTGATGCACCTGTGTGAATTCTTTTAGCTTCCATCAGGTTCTCAGTGGGGTCTTTCACAGGAACACCTGCTCCTGACGCTCGGAGACCTGTATCTTAGCACCGCATTTCTGCAGCGACAGAGCAGGGCTCCTGCAGACTCCATGCCCTGTCCTTTGATAGCAGAAACCTGAGGGGCAAAGTCAGTCAAGCAATGCCACAGGCTAGCTTCCCACCTGGAATGCAGGGAACCCTCGGCCTCCCACCCAGAGACATGATCCATTCTACGAGTCTCTGGACGGCCCAAAAACCAGCAGCCTTCGACGCGCTGAACACACCGCCTTCGCTGGCAAACTCAGGCAAGCCCTGGACACCTGACTTCACTGTTCTGAGCCTGTTTCAGATGATAATCCATTAAATGGGGTTAATATCCACCTTGTGGGGTGAGGCCCCACGTAGCACACCGGCCTACAGGAGCTCCATGTCTGATTAAAAGCGCCCCGGCAGCTGCTTACCTGTTTGGTTGCCACAAGAAGCACCAAGCCGTTCCCTGCCTGCCAGACAGGGATCCTGTGCAAGCGAGGCCTGGGGATCAGCACCGCCCCCAGGTGCTGCCGGTGCTGCCGGCTCGGGAACCACGCTTTGAGCAAACCCAAGGACGTGCGTGAATCAGGGAAGAATAATATAACAGTGCTGCTATGTTATGTTAGCCCTGCCTGGAGCATCTGATCTCAATGGCGACCTAAGGAAGGAAAGCCGACGTGAGGACAGACGTCCTAGAGAACGCTGACTTAACGACCAAGAGAAAAGTCCCCAGGAGGCCTGGAATTGCACCATTTGGCTGTCTGTTTATTTCAAGTTTACAGAGAAGCTTAAACATCTGTGGAAAAACACCAAAGGCTTATTTTTCTCTTGAGTTCATGTCTTTTTAAGTGATAAATACACAGTATTTAACTTGGTACACCTGATAAAAGGAAAATGCATAGTAGAAAGGACCAGGAATGAAACAGAAGCATCGGGCAGGACATCAGTCACAGAATAGAAAAGTCAGCAGTCCCATGAGACTCGGCCCATAAAGCTGGAGAAGATGGGAACCGACGACCCTTACACCTTCCCTAGCACCTTAGAAGCAAGTGGAGGTCATGGTTCTTCCTCCCGGCAACGAGAAGCTCCCCTTTGGGAGATGGCTGAGAGCAACAGGTTGAACCTATGTGTCTAAGTGCACAGGGATTCACCTCCTTGTTCCAAAAAGGCTTTGAGGACCGGAGCCCCAGCTCACGGGATAGGCCAGACCACTGGGGAAACAGCCTCCCCAGCCCCCAGTGCCAACAAGGGGCTAGAAAGGGCTTTCATGGAGCCCCCGGTGAGCCAGCAGACTAGATGGGGGATGCAGAACAGGGCAGGGGAAAGGTGGGGAGAGACACTTGTGCTTCCTGCAAGGCCACAGACGCAGGCACGGGACGCTGACAGCAACCTGGTCCCACACAACGAGCCAGCGGTGGGAGAGATGGACGGGCGCCCCTTTGGCTCACCTGAAAAAGCGACCCTAACAGCTTCCCCGTCTCCTGGTAGGGCCGGCTTTTGAAAGATCAACGTTTGTGGTCCAAGAGAGTGGTAGCTAACACTTGTTACAGCCCTCTCTGCTTAGACTTTTTGGGGCTGGTAGCTCCTTTCCACAGCTTTCTTTGGTGTTCCTTTATTTAAAAACGTTATGAACCTGGGCCTCCCCCAGCCCACCCACCGGAACAGCTGGGTGCCGCCTGGCGGCTCTCTTCCCCAGAGAGCTGCATCGAGGAGAGATGGCACCGCCCAATGCGGCTGTGTAAACACAGGAGCTCTGCAGACATTCTGCATGCTGCCTGCCCTCCCTGGCGAGCCACCTGGCCAGGCCAGAGTCCACGCAGACAGGCTGGGACGGGGACCAAGGACCGGCTGACTTGAACCACTGCACGGTGCTTACTGCAAACTAAGCGGGCCCCATCTGCTCCCGGAAGGGGTGGGGCCATAAATTTAAAAAAGTGTAGGAGGGCAAGGGGAAGTACTAGGTTATAGAAAGAAAGAAATCTGGCAAGGATACCCTCCATCAGACTAGTATCCTTTGCTCTTGGAAACCAGCAGTCCCTAATTCTGTCCTGTTAAAAGATAGCAAGAAAACTGGCTGAAGTGACAGTTGAGGGTTTACAGTAAGACCCTTGGAAGCCGAGGACGCCTGGGCTCTGTGAACGCACCAGGCAGGGGGCACAAGCCCTCGCTTCTCTCTGCGAGAAGTCCTCGCACCAAGGCTGGTCGGACAGAGACCACGGGAAAGCAGGTCTTTCTGAGCCCTGTTACCGTCTCCCCAGGTCAGGTTCCGAAAGCATAGGGACTCTCCCAAGACAGAGTCCTCCCAGTTTTCCTTCCCCTTGAACTTCAGACGCACCCATGTGTGGCTCTGGAAGAAGTCGCACTTGCACTGCAACCGGACTTTCCAATATTCGATGGAAGTCAAAAAGGTAACCTTCTTCTCTCTGGACTTTTGGCTACAAAAGGGAATGTCCGGCACCAAGCCCTGGTCCCCCAGGACCTTGAGGAGCGCTCCAGGTTTCAACAGCCTTCTCTAAAAGGCTCCTGGAAGTTCTTGGGTCGATCCTAACAGAAGGTTGCCGGTACTGATGATCATCTGTGTCTCAGTCGAATGAAAGTATTTCCCAACTGGCCCTCCAGAAACTGGGTCGCTGTTTCACTAACGAAGATGACACTCAGCTGGTATTTAAGAAGAGAGCAAAATGTAGCAGTCTCTAGAGTACACGGGTCATGAACAAGCCAAGCTGCTAATACACAAGTGCACGTTCCATTGGCTCTAACCCCCGATCCGCCTGAAGCTGTGGACTAGATCCTGGAAGCTCTAAAGGATTTCTAAACTCCTCGGAGTTCAGTCTAGTTGGAGAGTTGATCATTTTTGCTTGTCTGTTCACTCTTAAACCATGTAATATACATGGAAGTACAGGATTTCACCCTGATGTTTTTTGTAACTTAACAAGGGATTTAGAAGAGAGCTCGGTCAACTCTTTCAGAAATCCACTTTCAGTGGCTGTCACAAATGCACGCAAGTCCTCGAAGCGCAGCTTTCCCACCATGACCACGATGCCCTTCTTGGGTCAGAAAATCCCCTTTGTGAAGCAATCAAACATCGAGCTCTTTCCATTTTTCTGACTACAACTCTAGCCATTAAAAAAATGTTAAAAGTCCTTCTTACAAATACGTCGCTTCGAAGCTCCCTGCAGCTACTGAGGGCTGGCCCTGCCTCGACGCGAGAGTCCACGGTTCTGGGAGGTGGTATGGTTTTGGGCGTGGGGTTTGCACGAGACGTCGCATCCACTGTTCTCCCTTTCAAATACAGCGATGGACTAGCTCCGTGGTCTCAGACCATGCCTGGGAGCTCTCTGCCAGTTTTTCATGATTTTCAAACCCTGCACACGTTCACTCTGGACAGCGGACATGGCTCCAAGTTCACAATGAAGAATTTTTGGCATAAAAACGTTTTAAAAAGCAATTGTCCCAAAATGTATGTGGCTCTGGGTCTGTAACTCCTCACACCCGCTTGTTCAGCCAGCCAGCGGGCATGGCCGATGTCATGATATCGTAAGAGTCCTTTTTTTTTTCTGTCCCTTTTAAAACAACAAAGGATTAAAAAAAAAAACAACAACCAGAGATGACAGGCAAGGCTCTACACACGTGCTCAGTTTCCGTAAGACATGCTGCTATGGAAACGCAGGGTGCGCAGCACCGGAGGTGAGACGCTGAGCATGCGAGGTCACGGGCAGTCAGCAGCTACTCCATCGCGTCGTCTGGCCACGGAGGATGCATGCGTGCCTGGTGGCCGGGGCCCAGGGCCCCCCAACTCTCCACACGCGGCCCGCCTTTCACAGGAGCACCTCCTCCTCCCCCACGGGGGGCGGGGCGGGCCCCTGAAGGCTGTCTTCGCTGCCTCGCTTCCTACTCGTGGAACAGAAAAGTAACGTTAAGGCCCCGACCTTGCGTCTCCAAGTTCCCACACGGTCTGCAAGGCTATTTCCTTAATCTCTTCTTTTAGATTCCCTCCCTTTTTTTCCTTGCTTATATAAAATTTTCAAAGGACACTTTGTATCCCTCCTGTAAATGGAAAACCAGTGTCATTTGCCAAAAATAACAAGGATAAAAATACACGGGAACCTATCTACGTGACACCTACACTCACAGCACAGGTTGCGTGCTGTGTGGGCTCCCTTCACGGAGGTTTTTGTTATCTCGGCTCCCCCGCCCCCACCCCCTTCATGATATAAGCTCTCACACGCAGGAACCATGACACTTGTCTTCTGTCACCAGGTGAACTTCTTGGGGACAGCAAGCAGGACCGCAGGGGCTTAGCCTGACACACGGCCAGCCTTCTGGACACCGTTGTCAACAGAAACAGAACTGGCCCAGCACACGGGCCCAAGGAACACCTCTGACAAACAGAAGGTGCTCCCTGGCGGCGATGGGGCAATCGGAGCAGCACAGACCCGCTGCTGGGAGGGGCGGGGTCCTGTGTCCCGGAGAGACCACGGCCCGGAGCACCCCAGCGAGAGCTGCCTGGGGTGGCACACGGGGGAGGGAAAATCCCGGAAGAGAGGCCCAGACCCTTTGCCACCGTCAGGCACAGCCGCCCCTTCTAAGGGAAGCCGCTGGGCTTGTCACACAGGACTCCTGTCCCCGGCGCACACTGGCCAGGAGAGAATGGCCCCGCCCAAGGAGGGAAAGCGCGATGCCTGCATCCCAGGAAGAAACCCCTCTTTGTTTAAAAATCATTCATTGGCTTTATCGTTTCTACCACAGAAGACGGGTCAAGTCCCCAGGGAGGAGTGCTGTCCCTCGCTGCCCAGACAGGCCCTGGTCTCTGCCCTACTAGCTGGTCTTGCTGCAGGCGCTGAAGGACTTGAGGCCAGGGCCTCCAATGACTGACGAGGCTCTGCAGTCCCAAAGCGTCCCACCCGGGGGCTGGGGACAAGCGCAGGCAACCCCCAGGTGATGCTGGGAACGCAGAGGAGAAAATAAAGGGACAGTAGAGCCCTTTGGACCGATTTCAGCCTGCTGGTGTCTCATTGTGGGGCAAAAAAAGAATGAAAACAGACTTACACACAGACAGGAGGCAAACCCTAACCTGCGGCTGAGAAGAGAAAGGCCAGTCCATTACGCTTCTACTCCCTGTCACTCCTGAGGCTCAAACTATAGCCTGGACCACCCTGTCATCTGGCTGCAGAGATGTCTGGGAACATCCAGCAGAGACTGAGGCAGCCTTCTCAGGCTGGTGACAGCTGGCTGATTGCTAATTGCTGCTTTTCCTGCTCCAGAAAAGCATAAATAATCCCCAATCAAGCATCCCTCCTACAGTACCATATAAGCCCCGACGCCTTTGGTATGAGTAGCCAGTGCAGTTTATCTAAGCCAATTCCTATCAAATGGAAAAGGCTGGCGCTTGGACAAGAGCGTCCATGGCAGCACTACGCATCCGTGACAGCCAGAAAGTGGCAACAGTGTCCACCACCGGATGAAGAGATAACTACAATGCGTTCTCTCCATGAGGTGGAATGGTACTTGGCCATAAAAAAGGAACAGAGCACTGACACCTGCTACAGTGTGGATGAGCCTTGAAAACATGACGCGGAGTGAGAGACGCAGGACACAAAAGGCCACGCGCTGGGTGATTCCGTTCATAAAAAATGTCCAGAACAGGCAAATCCATAGAAACTGGAAGTCGCCTGGTGGCTGCTGAGCAATGGGGACGCTGGGTGGTTACGCAACGCTGGCTGTATCAAAAACCGTTGAATTATCCACTCTACATGGGCGACTTGTATGGTAGGGGAACTGTACCTCACTAAAGCTGCATTTAAAACGCAGACATGGCTGCCTGGAGCTCCGAGGTGCAGCTGAGCTGGCGTGTGCAGCTGAGCTGGCGCATCCAGCTCAGTGGGAAGAATACTGGGCTTGCTCCCCGGCCACAGGGGCTGCGGGGAGGAGTGGCCGAAGGGATGCCATTTGTCATCTCGGTCTTACAGGGACAAAATTCCCTTCTGTCCGGGGAGGTGCAGGTAACACTGACTTGGGTGTACGACACATTTGGAAGAGGGACGGCCAACCGGGGGAGAAGCCCAGGCCCGCAGCCGCAGCGGTAGAAGGCTCGCACGCTAATTTGCAGCCGGCTGCAAGGGGACTTATTCTCTAGGTCTCAACCCATCGGAGAAGAAAGGGTGGATGCTGGGAGCCACCAGGGAGAGCCACAGACGCAGCATGCCTGATCTATGCCCCGACCATGCGGACCCGGAGCAGGGGCAGCCACGGGGCCCGTGACGCGTACTGAGCGTACGGGGGTGCCCAGCTGGGTGGTAAGGCCTGGGTGAATTCACCGGCATTCCGGGTGGAGCGCCATGCACCGCAGCCCCCGCTCACATGCAGGGCCAAGCCCAGATGCCCCTCCTTTTCAGCCCGGGTCCAGAGGCCCGGGGTGAGCCTGGTCGCAGCCGGAAGGGACACCCGCCGGGGTGGGGATGCCCCGTGCGTGGCAGCTGCCCCCGCCCCCAGGCCACTGCGCAGGCAGGCAGGCTTTTACCTTGGGCTCAGACAGGGGCTCCCACTCCCTGGTTGGTTTTTTGCTGGAATCACCAGACGGGAGGGAAAAGGGAAGTGAGAAGGGACAGTTGGGATCCAAGAAATGCCCATCACCCACCCCAGAGACATTCAGACCCCAAACACCAGCTTGACTGAGCTGTCGCCAGGCAGGTCACAAGGACACCACGCTGCCATGACACGCAGGTGCCCATGGGCGAGACTGGCTGGCTCCCCCAGCTCGGGGCCCAACACCCCCACCATCGAGCACCCCTCCTTCTGGACCAGAGGTGCTTTGATTGTCGGGAGCCCCCAGTTAGAGTGCAAGTCCCCTGAGGGAGGTCAAACCTCAGGCTGGAGGAGCTATGGGCTGGGGGACGCGGGCCGGGCCCAGGCTGGGGTGAACCCCCACTGGCAGTGGCTCGGACTTCCCCACTGGGCCCAGGTCTGCCTGAGTCTTTCCGATGGCACCTCCCCAGGGGTGGGCCCGGGTGAGCGGCTGAACAGGCCTGCGTTGTGTCCTGCCCCCCAGCAAGGCAGGCGGACACTCACACGAGCAGGTTTCCGGGTGCTGACAACGAACGCTCGTCCCGCCGGCTGCCCTCAAACGGGTTCCCGAAGGAGCGTTTCCGTATCATGGTCTTCACCAGGATCTGAGGGGAGAAGAGGAGGCTCAGCCACCTGGGCGGGGACTACTGGCAACATCTTCCCTGGGGCCGACATCCTTCCTCACCTGTCTGCCCCGGCCCCTCGCCAGCTCCCAGGCCTGTGGCTGACGGCAGGCCTTTGGGAGACAGGGGGCAGCACCCAGGCTACGGCAGCCAAAGCCATCACCACTGACCGGCCCACAACCCAAACCCCCGAGGCTCCCTGGCTGCCAGCAAGATAAGGGCCAAAGCCCTTGGTCTGATGTCCAAGTCCTTTCGTAATCTCCAGTCCTGGGCCTATGCAACCCGCAGGGGGCCCTGTGCTCCAGAAGAGGTGGCCGGCACTGCCCCCCGCCCCATGCCTGGTACCACCTGTCTCACCCCAGCCATCAACCTGCCTCGTGTTCAAGGTCAGGCCTCCATGTTCGGTGAAAGCCACCACCGACCACACCCACAGGGAACTACCTATTGCTTCCTGGGCATGATGGGGGACGGCACGCTGTACTTTTTAATTAAAATTCCCACTGCCTCAAATTCACCATTTTAAAGTGTACAATTCCATGGTTTTTAGTATATTTAATGTATCTAATTTCAGAGCATTTCTATCACTCCAAAAAGAAACTCTGTTCCCGTTGGTAGTGACTCCCATTAGCAGACTTCCCTGTCCCCAGGCTCCTGCATATACCAATCTGCTTCCCGTCTTCTGTGAACTTGTCCCGGACATTCCATGTAAGTGGAATCATACAGTCTGTGACTTTTGTCTGGCTTCTTTCACTCAGCATATTTTTAAGGTTCAGCTATGTTATATCAGTATTTCATTCATGGCTGAATAATATTCCTTTATGTGGCTATAACTACATCTTCTTTATCCATCCCCTCACTGGTGGACATTTAGGTTGTTTCCACTTTTTGGCAACTGTGAATAATGCTGCTGTGAACATGTGTGTCCAAGTTTTTGTGCAGACATGTTTTGCACACAAAGTGCCTTGATTTCTCTTGGGTGTACACCCAGGAGTGAAATTCTTGGATCACGTGGTAACGACGTTGAACATTTGGAGGAACTGCCAGACTGTTTTCTACAGTGGCTACGCATGTTACATCCCCACCAGCATTAGGCAAGGACACCGTTTCCTCAGGGGACTGCACTGTGGTCCAGGATGGGGCACACCTGTCCAGGTGCAAGGAGCTAAGGGGACATCCCAGCCACGGGAGGGCCTGGCTGGCGTGGTGTGAGCGCACAGGCGCTCAGAGGCCCTGGTGGCCCTTCTGAGAGGCGCAGGCGGCCGGCCGGCCCGCCCACGGCCAGGAGCGGGGCTCCTTGGTGCGCCCCCCCCCTCCCCCGCAACCTGCTCTAATAGACTGAGTTGGGAAACGTGCATCTGAGGGGAGGATCCTTTAAGCAAAGTTAACATCCCTCCTGGCGCCCATCGGCCGCCATGCTGCGCCTCACCCAGCCAACCTGCCCCCACCCTTTCCGACACCCAGGTCTGACTCCCTCACTTCCTGACAGAATCTCTCACACACAGGAGTCTGGAATTTATCCTGTTGCCAGCCAGGGAGCCATGGAAGATTCGGGAGAGAGGGAGCCAACCAGTCACCTTTGGTGATGCTTTTGGCTGCTGTGTCCCGTGAAGGAGTTTTCAAGGACGTGGCCTCAACACCCAGTAAGGCTCTGGTCCCCTCCCCTCCCAGCAAAGCATGGTGCCTCCTCCAGCTGTTTCATGTATTGTGTTGAGTTTTTAAGGGTTTGCTGATAGGTGCCAAAAAAACCAACGACACCGATTTACCAAAAGGTAGAAACACCTAAATACCCAACTGAAGAACAGATAAACAAAATGTGGTCTATCCACACATGGACTATTACTCAGCCATGAGAAGGAATGACATGCTACAATGTGGATGAACCTCAAAAACACTGTATTAAATAAAACAAGCCAGACACAAGATTATAAAATTCCCTTTATAGGAACTATCCAGAATAGGCAAATCTGTAGAGACCGGGAACAGACTGGTGCTTGCCAGGTGCTGGGGGCAGGAGAGGACAGAGTGACTGCTAAAGAGGACAGGCTTTCCTTTAGGGTGACGATGCTCCAGAGCTATCGAAGTGAGAGTGCTGACTGTCGCATAATATTGTAAATGTGACAAACGCCACTGTGTTGTTCACTTTAAAGTGGTTCATTCTACGTTCCATGAATTCTATCTCAATAAAAAAGAAAAAACACTGACTTAGAGAATGAAGGCCATGCCCCCGGTGAGGCTGAGCCCCACAACCCCTGGGACTTTGCAGCTGCCCTCAGGGGCGTGGACCATGCCCTGCCCCTCCCCCAAGGCCCTGTCTAACCAGCCCACCCCTCCCACCCTGGGGACCCCGCGGAAGGAGCCCCTCCTCTCTGAGGCCCCCGTTCTTGCCCGTCTCTGCGCTGGCCTGCCACCATGCGATGCGCAGGAGGGCCCATCCATCTAACGAGGCTGGGAGCCTCGTGAGGGCTGGACTTCTGCTCCAGCCACCTGCCTCTCAGATGGCTGCAGGGCCCCCCACTTCCTCCCTGGCACCCGCAGGCCGTTCCCATGTGGGATTTTTCCAAGGTCAACCCTGGTCGTGCTGCTCCCGATTCAGACCCTTCAGGTGCCTCCCAAGCTCCACAGGGCACAGCCGCTTCCTCCGGTGACCTTTTCCAAACCCTCGCCTGGGCCGTGTCCTCTCTGAGGAGAGCGTTCCCCGGCCCTCAGTTACACTGTACATTCATTTATTGGTTGTTTGCTCAGCATCTGCCTCTCCAGGACGGCAGGTGCCATGTGGCTGTATCGCTGTTCCCTGCCCCCAGCACAAGCCTGGGGAACCGCTCGGTGTTCAAGCGCTTCCTGAAAAATCAACGACTGGCTCAGACCTCTAGGGTTAAGGCGCCTCCTCCCAAGAACATTCCGCGGTGGGCGCTGGGGTCCAGCACCAGCCGTCTGCCCCGCCACGAGCTCAGGACACGGGTGGGGTGGATGGATGAGAAAGGGTGAGTGGGTGTGGGTGAATTTTTAACAGGGACGTGCACGCAGAGGCCCGAGGTGGGGAAAGAAGAATAGGGATGGATGCCCCACACAGGGCCTGGGGATTTGGAAGAAGAAGACAGAGAGGAAGCAGGAAAGAGAGGCACAAAGCTGGGAGAGGAGCCAGCAGCAGCTCCTACGGGGACATCCAGAGCCCAGGCCCTGCCTGTCTACGGGGGCCCACGCTGGCCAAATGCAGCCCGGGGCTCTGGAGGCAGCCCCCGTGGGTGGCCAGCTGGGTTCTTCCTTGAGACTGTTGCCTGGGCCTGGACCCCTGAGGGCCCTGGTCTCCCTCCTGGAGCCAGGCATCCTGATGGGCTGCGCTTTACAAGGGGCTGCCTCCCAGCGTCTCCAGGGTTACTCCTGAGGACCCCGCATTCTGGCCCCTTTTTCCAGGCCCCATGTGTGAGGCCATAAAATGGGCCTGGTGACTCAGGAGCAAGCCCCCAGCCTCCAGAGTCGGGAAGAGCTCAGGGGCGTGTGACGTGGGGGTCCCTGCCCTGGAGCTGCCTGCCCGCAGACGGGAGGTGAGTGCAGCCGTTCGCCCTGCAGACTGAGACCCACCCTGGTGGGAATCCTGCCCCAGAGACCCCAGCCCAGCTGCTCCCCGGGCCCCCGCCCTGGCCCCTCGCCTCCTCCTGCTCCCCAGCATGCTCTGAAAGCAGGGAGTCTGGAAAGGGCGGCAGGATCCCTGGAGAGGGGCTACCCCTCTCTACCGTAACATCAGACCTGGCTGCAGATAGAACTAAGGTTAGAAGATACAGGGGCACCTGGCCAGGTGTGCGCCCAAGGCCCGTGGTGGGTGGCTGTGGGCTAGGGACAGCCAGCCGTCCCGACTTTCTGGCCCAACATCTGCGTCTCAGACACCCGCCTGTGTCCCAGCCTGTCCTTGCGGGGCCCATCCCTGGCGACTCTCTGTCCCTGCTCTCGGTCAGTGGTTTGTCCGCCTTACCACGGTCGCCAGGCTGGGAATGTGTTTGACCGAGTTCTCGACCTCCTCTTCGGTCACCTCGACCAGCGTGCAGTTCTCGTCCTCCGATGGCAGCGGCTCCGCCCCGTGCCTCGTGACCCAGGGGTGCAGCTTCAACGAATGACAGGACGGGTGAGGGGTGGACGCAGCTGGCTCCCCGAGGCAGGACAGCAGAGCCAGGGAAAGGATGCAGGAGGGGAGAGGCAGTGGCCTGAGGTCAGACATGCAAGAGAGCTGATAAGCCAGGCAAAGGGAGCAGGTGAGCAAGACGGGAGGAAACGTGGAAGAGACAGAGACAGAGAATGGGAGGGAGCCACGAGGCTGGGATGTGCACGGACCAGATTCTCCGTCTGGCCCCAGGTCTTGGCGGGCGAGGCTGGGATTTGGCTGTGCCTCTCACGGCTGCCCGAGGAGCACCCCTGGCTCCTCAGTGACTCTCCCTGATGCCCGGAAAGCTCAGCTCAGAGCAGGCAGCACACTCCCCATTTTACAGGAGGGCAGATGGGCTTGGGGAGGAGCAGCAGCCACAGACCAGCAGGAAGGACATAGTAAGGAGAGGACCCAGGCAGGGGTCTGCCCCCCACTACACACTCCTAGGGTCCAAGCCCTCATCTGTAACATTCTGGGCTTCCTCCTCTTCAAAGGCTAGTTAGCTAGGTGCCTAGTGCTTCCCAAAGCAAATCTCCAGGTTTCTTAAAAGGCCAGATGTGTGCATGTGGGTTGGTTGGGGTGTAGGGGAAAATGGGCGAAATAGGGGTCTCTCCTAACCGTGCTTTCTGCAACAGGGTGGAATTCAGCAGGCCAGGGTGAGGCGTGGGGCCAAATTGCTCACAGACTCCCGCCCACCCTCACTGCAATTTCTCAGACGGATGGGCAGGGTCACGGCAAGGGCCCAGGGCTCAGGCAGCCAGGGCATGGAGCACACAGAGGCCTCGGTCCAGTCCGGGGAGGGGGGACGCCACCAGCTCGAGCCAATCGGAGTGAGCGCTAGCTGCCCGTTGGCAGCGATTCCACAACCACATCCACACAAGCCCCAAGCCCTCCTCCCGCCCCTCCCAGCCCCCAGCAACCCAGAGGCTCCAGGGCATGGCAGGGCAGCGGTGCCAAGGAGGGCATGGCGCTATGGACGTGGGGTGGGGGGCCTGGCCCAGGCAGCGTCGAGCCGAACAATTCCAAGCAGAGGACACAGGCCAAGCCGTTGGCACGTACCCCGCAGGGCGGTGGTGGCCCCCGGGTACCTTGATCTCTGGCACCACGATCCTCGACTCAGGGTTCTTGTCCAGCATGCGGGTGATCAGGTCCTTCAAGTCCTCAGCTATATCGGGCCTGGGGGTGACACACACGTTAGTCAGACATATACGCAGAACCTCTAAGGGCTCAAAGAAGGCAGCAACTCAGGACGGCTTGGCGGAACTCACTGCTCTGGGAACTCCAGGGCCTGGCTCTTGATCTTACTGTGCAAACACATGATCCTCTCGTCCATGAACGGGCACTGCGAAGAGAGGTCGGGGCGAATGTCCATGGCTGGCGCCCTGTCCTGCAAAGGGCGCCCCGTGCTGGCACCACCCCCTGGGGGTCACAGCAGAGAAATGAACAGCCCAGCGGTCTGATCTAGGGAGGGAGCTCTTTCCATACCCCCACCCCCCACCAAGTCCTAGAAGGATCAGGAAAAAAGCAAACACTCTTCTTCACCCACCTACTGTGTGGACAATAATAATTCCAAGAAGAATTCACCACTGTAGCAGTAGAGATTTGTGAGGGCTAAGCCTAGACCAGGCCTTGTACTGAGTTTTCTCAGGACCAACATGTCATTGGCTGGTCTCTCTGCCTGGAATGTTCTGTCCACCAGCACCTGCCTGGCTTGTTTTCTCCCATCAATCAGGTGTCCAATAAAACACACCTCAGGGAGGCCTTCCCAAGCTCCTGCCTGACACAGACACGGCCCACCCACGTGCCTTCTCATCACAGGCCTACCCCAGACGTTACATATGTGTTTATTACCTCACCGCTTGCCTTCTCCTATTTATTAACTCACCACTGTTACAAACATATTTATTAACTCGCCACTACGTTACGCACGTATTTGTTTATTAACTCCTGCATTATGTTACATTATTTGTTTATTAACTCCTGCTTCGGAACAGCAGCTCTAAAAGGGCTGGGATGTTTGTCTGCCTTGCTCATTGTCAGTGACTCCCCACTGCCCTGGAACAACCTGGCACAAAGTAGGGGCTCGATAAATACCTATTGAATTAATGAGTGCTTGAGTGATTTCTGATAATTCTCTCAGTAGCCGTAAGAAATAATAAGTATTATTCCCATTTTACAGAAGAGAAAAACAGAAACCCAGAGAGGTGACCCGTCCTGGGAAGAGCAAAGCTGGGACTGCAGCCTCGCCCGGGCTGAGTCTGCGCCCGTTCATGCACCGCCTCCCAGGAGACACACCGGCCCTCGGCCAGCAGAGGGTCTGCCCTGGGGGAGCCCAGGCCTTGCACTGGAGAAAGCAACCTTTAGGTGAGCGCCTAGGAGGCTGGAAAAAGTCTCAGAAAGTGACCTGCTCCACTCCTGTCCAAGAAAAATGATTTCATTAAGAGCAGTAACTTGAGATAGGAGTTTGGATCACACAGGTGCATCCATTTGACAGAATTCATTAAAGAGTACACTTAAGATCTGTACATTTCACTCTATACCAATTTTACTGCCAGAGAGAAAGAGAGAGAACCTCAAACAAATGATCACACCCTGAAGCATTTGGAAATACAGAGACGGTAGAGATGCTGGTACTCTACCGTATGTAAAAACAAAACAAAACAGACAGACTGAGGACAGACAGACATGAGAGAAAGCAAGATTCTTTATGGCAGGACCCAGGGGGTGGCTGGTGGGTATTTACTGTGTAATTCTTTCAACTTTGCTATGTGACTGAAAGCTTTCTGATCCAACATTGGGAGAAGGAGATTACAAACTCCTGGATGCCTTCCTCACAGACCCAGTTTCTGAAGTTTTCCTCAGCAGGGACACAAGCTCATGAAAAGGGAAAAAAATCCATGCTTTTATTGCTCACATAATCAATCAGAACTTCAGAGTTAAACATATAAGCCCCTAAATATCAATAATATAAAAAAAGGACAAAAAAAGACAAAACAGCACTCCCTAAATCAAAAATGTCAGATGGATTTTAACTTCCATTCCAATTCTATCCCTCAGAGAAACAGCTTCTTGAAGAGTATGTTGAGAAGAACATCAAAGCAGTATCAGGCTCAGGAGGAAAAATGCAGTGATTGATTAGTGATGTCTGTCTCGGGTTTAGGAGAAGAGAAGAGCAGCACATTCGCTGTCTTTGCCCTAAATCTGTCAACTATTTGCGACCTCTAAGAGCCTCTGCCAATCCTTCAACAGATCATTCTTCCCCAGGTATGACTATCATAAGCAGATATGTACACCTGAGAAGGCATCCTTTTTCATACTCAGATCTAAAGGTGGAAATAAAGCTCTATAACTTTAAAATGAATACATACTGTCTCCCTGCAAAGGAAACTCTTAATCCAAGGGGGCCACCCAGCCACACTCAGGAGGCAGGACACGCCCACTGTGTTACCTGGCCAAACACAAAGCAGTAGAGTGTCACACCCATGGCCCACACATCCAAGGCCTGCAAGAAAAGAAAGGAGCTTCGTGTGAGGGAACACGGTGGCAGATACGGGGCATCTGCTACATCTGCCTGTCCAGCATCAACCCCTCCAGCCTTCCTTTGGGGAACCGCTTCTCAACACTGAGACCCTGGAGCTGATGTGGGGTGGATCCTGCCCCCAGCCTCTGGGTGGGCACAGGACCCAGGACTGACCAATGACAGTACCACTTCCCCAAACCATTGTGTTTGGTTCAAGGATGGGCACATCATCCATACTGGACCAATCAGAGCCAACCCCACAATTTTTGCTGCAGCTCTTCAGGAAGCCAAACAGTCTTTCTACTGAGGTTGGTAAACTGATATAAAGGAGCCTAGAGCTACTGGTGACCAACACACCTGGAGAGGAAACCAATTCAGAAAAACAGACTTAAGAGATGGAGAGCCAGATTCCTATTTGAATCTCTGTATCTAACTAAGCCTAAAGCCAAATGGACCTCATTCATCTACATTATTTAACGGATTCCCTGTTTTAGCCACTTTGACTTGGATTTTTGCCACTTGCAACTGAAAGGATCTTACAATCACAGGCAGAACTCAGTACCTCAGGCAGGTCCAGACCTACCTTCCCAGAAAAGATTTTCCGGGTCTCGGAGAGCGACTCAGGCGCCATGAAGGCGGGCGTGCCCACAGTGTTAGAGAGGAGCGCATCGCTGCCCTTGAACTCGTTGCTCACACCGAAGTCGGCAATCTTGATGTGCCCGTCTTCTCCGACCAAGAGGTTGGAAGGTTTGATGTCCCGGTGGATGATCTTCTGGTAGTGTACTGGGGACAAGGGAGATGCCGGATGGGAGAGAGGGGACAGGAACACCGCGTGAGGAGTTCCATGCAGCCCACACAGCCCAGAGACACAGGCGCGGACCCCTCTGTTCTCCCAGGGCCCCTTGCCAATCCCCACCAAGACCTGCTGGACACCCACGGCACTAAAAGGTAAGGGGGAAGAGGGTCTTTAAGGACGTTCCCGGCCTCAAAAGTGAGGCGCGAAACCCGCACTGCCAGGAGCAATCAGGAGCTGCCTGCGACAGTCTAAGCCGCCGGCACAGAGCCAGGGAGAGTTTTTGTGGAACTCGGATCCCAGCTAGAAGCCTCAAAATTTGTGACAATTTTCGTTTACTTAGGCCAACACTCAACCAGCTCACCAAACCAACAACGACTAGAGCAGGTCGAGTAGAAGTGTGACCACAAAGCAGGACTGGGGCCCTTGACTAACTGTTCCTGCCTGGATGTCAGCCTGTGGGGAGGACACTCCTACGGTCCGGAAGGCCCAGCTGCGTTTCTTCGGTGCTGGGGGTGCTGACGATGATGAGGGAGGAGGAGGTGACGATGCGGGAAATCGGGTCAGCAGTGTCCTGCGCTGAGCGCCCAGTCGGGGCCTGGTAGCCCTGGGTTAACGACTCCCCGTTCACCCCACTGAAATCTTGCAATAATCCTAATGTGCCAGGCGCAGCGTCAAAATGTTTAACAACCAGAAGCAGGGAAAACACCTGCCAGTTGGAACCACTGATGTGCCCTGGCTGACTTCAGCCCACATGAGAGACACTTTGCTCCTGTTTCATAGATGAAGAAACAAAGGTTCCAGGAGATAAATAGGACCCCCGCCCCAGGGTTGTTATGAATCAGGGGCAAAGGCAGTAGAGCCCCTAACAGTGCCTGGTACATGCAGAAAGTCATGGACGAACGGTCACTCTCGCCTCACTCCTGGCTGTCCTGGGGCACAGGAATAAGGGGTCCCGCAGCCAGGGGCCCGGCCGCAGGCAGGTCTCTGCAGCCACCCGTGACTCCCGGCTCAGACGATTCTGTTTCCTGCCCACCTCCTTGAGCTCCAGGAAGAAAATCAGAAACTCCCCACTTCCCACCCACTACATGGGAACGCCAGCCACGCCTGGGAGAGACGCCTCCCACCCCGCAGGCCCCGCTTACAGTACTCGATGCCTTTGATCAGATCCTGGAAGTAGAAACGGGCCTGGTCTTCGGAGAGTGGTTTGAGGGTGGGCACTTCCATCACGGGCCTGAAAGGTCGACAGTTGCATAAGAAGCAAAAGAGACACCCAGCTCGTGCCTTCTCTCGCTGCCGAGCCCAGCATCGCCTCGCTCAGCGCTGCAGCCCAAGAGGCTTTGGACACCGCACCGGCCGGTGGTGGGGACACTCACCCTTGGTTGACCAGTTCAAACACTGTAGGGAAGAGAAGGGGTAAATTGTTACATTCCAAGTTGCAAACCTGTCTTCCTCCCCATCGTCCCCTCCTCCTAACTGCCCCTAAAAACACCAACAAGCCAGAAAAGGAACTTGAGTCCCCTGGGGCCCCTCCCTGGCTTCAAGTTCATCAACAAGCTTCGGGCAAAACAGGTAGGGCAGAGGCGCTGTGGCTCCAGACCACGGTGGAAAGCAAAGGCGATGCGCACAGCTAAGGCCGCACACGGGAGCGGCGGCCCTCAGCTCCGGCCTACCCGGCCTCGGTTACGTAAGTCTCAACTTCCAGGAGCCGCTTCGTCAATTTCCGCACCTCCTCCCCGCAACCCAAGCACCGTGAATCTGTTGGCATGGGGGAAGCTGGCCTGCTGAAACAGGTCTCTTTTCAGTCACTCACTTTTAACCAGGCTGAGTAGTGGGTGGGAAGTTTTCAACCTCTAGAAATACCAATCGTGCCCTCCAGCCACTGAGGGTCAGGCCTGCAGCCGCAGGACCCTCGCCGGGGCTGCTACAGGCCTGTGGGCTACCCTGGAGAGAATCCCAAAACCAGCAGAGTCAAATACAAAGGTCAGCGTGGCTCCTTGTCACACCAGCACCTCGGGAAGTGAGAAACTGCCATGAAACTGCCCGGTCCACACAAAACTCCTCTTTGGAGCTTGGGTCGTGGTTCTTTTTGTATTCATTGGACTTCTCTGCTCACACCCTTCAATGGCGCCCTCCTTGCTCAGAATAAAAGGCAAGGTTTGACAAGGGTGTACAATGTCCTCTGCCATCTGGTCCCCGCTGTCCTGCACAAATGCCACTCAGTAAGGCATCTCAAGGAGCCACTCCCCCTTCCAGTCCCCGAACCTGGACTCCTGGCTCCCTGCGCCTGCTCAGGCTTGCTTGTCTCCATGGAGCCTACCCATAATGCTGAGGGGCTGAGTGGGCCAGACGGTCCCCACTAGAGCAATGAGATATCCCGAGGGCAGGGAGTTCTGAGTTTGTTCCTGCAGAACCTGGGATGGGACCTGACAAACAGTAATGTTCATTGACTGCACAAACCTCCTCCTCAGAAACAGTCTAAAGCCATGTGGCTTCGGGTCTGGGGCCCCAAGTGAGCGAGTCAGGCTAGAGATGCCATTCCGGGCCAAAGAGTATCTCTTACATTTTGTGATTTCTGCTGAATTTCTTCCAGTTTCACTCATTTACCTATCATGTTCAGAATGTAGCCATTTCTACATACCACGTAAACTGTTAATTATTTCACTTTTTTTTCTTTAAGTCAACTCAGCTTTAAAATTTTTAGCCTTATCCTAGGTAACAATATCCAGGAAATCATGAGTTTAGTGTGCTGGCTAGAGTCTTTCCTATACAATGATAAATTGAATCTGAAAAAATGTTTTAATGTTTGTCTACAGGCCACCTAAAATTGTCTCATACAGTTAAAGTGGGGACAGCACCACATTCGGAGAAACACTGCAATTCTGTACTGCTCACATTTTTGTTTCTTTCACAAATTTTCTTAAATAATATTTTTTTATCCTCACCTGAGGACATTGTTTTCATTGCTTTTTAGAGACAGGAAGGGACAGAAGCTTCAATGGGGATCGTATGTACCCAAACCAGGGATCGAACCCATAGCCTAGGTATGTGACCTGCCGGGAATTGAACCCACAATCTTTTGGTTACAGTTGCGGGACGATGCTCCAACCACCTGAGCCACACCAGCAAGGGCCCCTTCTTTCACAGCGTTCCGTGGGGTTCACCATGGGGCCCGGCTGAACTGGGAGAGGAGAGGCTGTCCTTGGTGAGAGACGTCAGGGGCAGGGTCGCCTCAAGAGGACACCTGGGCTTTGGCAGGTGCAGCTGCCTGAGCAAGGGTGGCAGAAGGCAAGGGCTCGAGTCTTACCCATGTACAGATGGTCCTCATTGGGGTCATCCAGGACCTGTTGGCACAGCCACACGGAACAGGCCGGGGACAGGAGCAGGGAGAGGAAGAGAGAGAAGATGTGAGCAGAGAGGAAGCGGCCTCCACGTGACCGCACCGGCCAGCGGGAGGGCTGCGCGGCCCGTGTTTCCCCGTTAAGGCGAAGGGCACCTGGGCAAACGCAGCGTGTGATCCAAAGGACCACCTGGGCAGTAATCACCATCTAGCCCAACCCTTGAGGGTCCGAAACGCCCAGAAAGGAGGTGACAAAAGGGAGGGGACAACTTCCTCCCTGGGGAACGTCTGAGCTTGGGGAAGAGTCCCACCTCTCCCCTGGGAGACAGCTGGAGGGTCCTCAAGGGGCAAAGGCAAATCCTGCCCCCTGCTCCCCGACCCCAGCCAGGCACAGTGTCTCCCCCCCGAAAGTGCCACAGAGCTCTCTCTCCTTCTCTCGTGGCCTCTGCTTCCACCTTCTCACTACTTCTACCAGATCTCTCCTTCCCTCCAAAGGGCAGGCGCAGGCTGAGGATACACTGCGGTTGCCTCCAAGGCGCCCTTACAGGGCAAGGCACACAGGAGGAGCTCAGGAGGTATCTGATGGATGCGCACACAGATGGGCGGGCAAACAGCCTTGCTGGTGGAGAAGCCACATGTCACAAGGCAGAAGGAAGAAGGGAGACCCCGCCAGGACCCAGCACCGCTCGCTACCCAGCGCCCTTGGGCTTCCTCTAAGACGCCTGCTCAAGACTCCAACAGCCTCTCTTCTTTCCAAAGAAACAAAGGGAGCTCCTTCGCTAGACTGGTCCCTCTACCTCTTCCCACATCGCATTCACCTTCCCCAGCCACCCATGATCCACAAGACAAGGGCCCTGAGAAAGCGGCAACCTCTAGGCAGGGGCCCAGGGCAGCCCACCTGGAGCCCAGCCCTGCACTGCATTGGGAGGAGGAGGAGACCCAGGGCCTGGCCCATCTAGACCCCTGTCCTCCATGGGCCCCAGGCAGTGCGGCTGCTGCCCTCACACCTACCAAAGGTCAGGATGTACCCCTCCAAATAGAGGCCTCCGGCCCTTTGCACATGCTGTTCCTTCCCCCAGGATACCCTTCCCTGTCTTCTCCACCCAGAACAACCAGGCCACCTCAAACACCACTTCCCCTGAGAAGCCTCCCCCAGCTGCTTCAGGTTGAGCTGGCTGCTCCTACTTGCGCTTCCGCAGGACTATGAACACACGGTCAATGAAGTATTTATCACATGCTGTTTACAAGTCCTCGTCACCTAGACTAGAGGTGACCTAAATGTGGTGCAGGGACTTCCAGGAGTCCCCAAGATGCTTTCGGGGGTTCGCAAGGTCAAAACTACTTTTACTCTAAAACAAAGACAACATTTGCCTTTTTCATTCTCATTCTCTGCTGGCGCCGCGGGCTTGTCCAGAAGCCACGTGCCCTGCGGTATCACACAGGCCGAGTGCAGGCGCAGATATGAGAGTCTGCCTGTCTTCCATGAAGCCAGACGTTCACAACACCACAAATGTGCACAGATATAAAACTATGCCACTCTTCTCCCTACATTTTTTTGTTCAAAAAGTAGTTATTTCTCATAAAAATATATCACATATTAATATGAAGGATTATTGTTGTAAATGAACTAATAACTAATTTTTAGATTCCTCAGTTCCCATGTTTAAGTTCCCATGTGATAAATACTAGCAAATATAAGCAAAAATAAGCAAAAGCTTTTTGGGGTCTTCAATAAGTTTTAAAAGCATAAATGAGTCCTGAAACCCAAGTGGGAAAACTGCAGGTTGGGAGCAGTGGCTGGCAAACCGCAGGGCGCAGGCCAAGTGCGCCTCTGCTGGGCTTTGTAAGAAAGTTCCATCCCAACCCAGCCACGCCCACGTGTTTACATGTGTATGGCTGCTTTTGTGCTACAACCATACACGCTAGCAGCAGAAAGAGAACCAGCTCAAAGCAACACACATGCGTGAAGAGCAAGCCTCCTCATCCATCCAAGCCTCTCAGTTTCTCCATCTGTAAAATGGGGAGACAGCCTGAGGGCAGGGTCAGGACTACGTGAAATACCGGGGGAAGGAGCCTGAATCCGCAATTACTGCTCAGCCCTGCAATAGTTACTGGACATGACATGGCTCTCCGTGGAAAATACCGGTGTGGCCTTTGGGTAAAAACAGAGCCAGACGCTCCTGGGTGTCCCCACCGACCTCACCTCCACCAGCTTCACCACGTTGGGGTGGTCCAGCTTCTTGAGGATGGCGATTTCCTGGTACACCTGCTCAATGGGGCCCCTGGGCTGGATGCAGCCGCCTGGGGCTGGCCGGGTGCCTCGGGGCGGGGGGCGACCTGAAGGAGACGCAAACCATCTCAGGGTCACGGCAAACAGACGTTACGGCACACGGGGCGGGGTGCCTGATGCCGTCGGGGGCTTTACACAGCCCTCTCCTCGCCCATCTCTCCTGCTGCCGGACACGAGTGAGGTTGGCGGCACAAGCCCCTTGCTCGGCCGTCTGGGGATCCCCCTTCCCACCCCACGCCCCAGGCCCTGGGAGGGGCAGGCCCCTGGGGCCGGGAGGAAAGGAGTCCGGGTCTGGCCGGGCCCTCTCAGCACTTTGGTGTGTCAGCCACCTGTCCTCTCTGGGGCTCGAAAGCATTGCCCCTCATCTCCTTAACTCCTGAAACGGCAGTCGTAGAAAATGAAGTCAGAAAGAGGAAAAGGCATAAGAGCCGGTGAGACCAAAAAAAAAAAAAAAGCTATGACAACAATGTTCACAGATCAATGACAAGAGCAGGGGACAGGAGCCAGGTGGACTCTGACTTCCGGATGCCCTCAAACACGTCGTGCTTCCACACTCAAGTCCGGCCAAAAGCTATTTTGCTGACGTGTCAGAGTAACCTGTATTTTTGTATGTGATTTCTACTTTTACAGACTTGTTTTAAAATAAAGTATTTTTTTAAAAAAGACTGTCCAAAAAGAAAGGCAGTCAGTTCCCTGGTTGGCCCTGCAGTGACTGACAGTCAAAAGGTCCCAGTGATGGAAAGACCCAAGGTTAAAATTTCGGTCGCACGCCACCCGTAAGCAAGGGTCTCAGTGTGATGCACAGAGGTGAATGTAGGCGTGGCCAGCCTTGGGGAAGCAAAGGCACAGCGCAGGTGTCAGAAGCGGGATGTGAGGAGGAGTTCAAAAGGGAAGGGAAGGAGGGCGCCAACAGCCTCGTCTTACAGAGTGAGCAGCTGTGAGACGCTGGCTACACCTGCCTGAACGAGGACGCAAGAGGCGAATGTAGTAACAGCGGACAGAACAGCACGCTATCATCCCGTCGCCTGGCTGGGAAAGGGAAGTAAGGAGTGGGTTGAGCCCCCGAGATCCTCAACTGTCGTCAAAGGAAATCAGAGGTAGGCCTCAAAAATGGATACATGAAGAAATAATGGCACAAGGTGTCATCCGACTTGGAGTTCAGATGAGTGGGATAAACCGGGGTCCTGGTGATAGATGCAGTTCCTGTCTTTTCTTACCTACCTCCTCCTTCAGGCCCAGCTGACATTCTGCCCAGCAAGGCCGGCAGGAGCTCACGCTGGGGCAGCCTCCGGTGCGCTCACCAGCAGGTCTACCGCTGACCACGCGCCGTGGCCACCAGCTCCTAAGAGGGCAAGTGGCGGCTGCCTTGGGGTGGGTGGGCAGGGGGACAGCCCAGGGCCTGCTGTTCTCTGTGATAAGCTGTTCTGTTCTTTGCTTTTTGGGAGATACAGTTCAAATACCTCATGGTACTTAAGTGTTTTAAAATTCACCGTTTCAAAATCTGTACCTCAACGCTGTTCAGTACTCGCACGAGGTTATGCAGCCACGCCCACATCTAATCCTCCATGTCTTCCCGGCCCCTCCCAAGCCCCATCCCGATTAGCAGTCTCCCCGACTCTCCTTACGCCCAACCTCTGGGAACCACTGATCTGCTTTCTCTACGGATTTTTCCACTCTGGACTTTTCATATAAATAGAACCACGCAATGTGTGACCTTTCTATGACTGGCTCCCCTCACTCAGCATCATGTTCTCAAGGTTCATTTATGTTATAGCAGGAGTCAGCCAGCCATTCCTGCCACGGCTGAGCAGTATTCCATTTGGACAGGCCACCTCTCTTTCACCCCTTCATCTGCCGACAGGCCTTGGGGTTGTTTCCACTTTGGGGCCGCTTTAAACGGTGCCGGTACAGACATCAATGTGCAAGCTTTTGCGTGAACCTGTGCTTTCCTTTCTCTTGAGTGTACCCCTAGGAGTGGACCTGCTGGGTCATATAGTAACTTCATGTTTAACTTTTTGAGGAACTGCCACACTGTTCTCCTCTAATGGATTTTTTTTACTTAAGACCTCTATTACGTTAATATTTTTAATGGAAATGAAGTAAAAACCCTCGGTCAGGAGGCCCAGTGCTGTCTCTGGGGCCCCGACGCAGCGCACTCCGCAGGGGACGCGGCTCTGTGGGCCCCCCTCTGCCTGGCCCCAGCTCCCGCGCCTCAGAGCAGGGCCTGCCTGGCCCACCAGACTCACGTGGAAAGCCCGCCTGTCGGATCAGCTTCTTCTTGGACAGCACCTTCATCGCCTGTGGGAGAAAAGGCCCCGCATCCTGAGTAAAGTGAGCAGGGGGAGGGGACACTCCCCCTACCCCTAGGCTCTTGCCGCTCTGGTTGTTTGGGGACAATGTAGTGAGTGCCTTGTCACCAGAGGGCATCAGACTGCAGCAGGTTCTATGGAGGCTGGAGTCCCGCGGCCCCTCAGGCCGCGAGGGGGCTTCCAAGGCCCCAAGGCCCCAAGGCCGCGTCCCCAGCTGGGGGAACTCGAGCCTTGGGACTCAGTGCCACGGAATCCAGACATGAGTGCTCTGGAGTCATGGGCATAGGACGGGCGTGACTGGCTGTGTGGCACGTGGGAAAACTGAGGTTCAGAAGTTCCATCCCTTGCCCGAGGTCGGGCAGTTGGCACATGGGAGAGGCAGGATTCGAGCCCACACTGGACTGACTCTAAAGCCTCAGCCCCAAGGGCCATTCGGCTCACTACTTCCTGGTTCTCAGAGCTATGGAGGCTGCAGAAATGGTAGCCCAGGGTAAGCACGTGAGACGTCTGCTGAATTCACTCATCCGTTCGTTCTTCCTGAGCAATCGCTTCACCTCCCCACGTCCCCATCTGTAAAGTGGGGACAGCTCTTCCCTCATAATGCGAACACGACCCCCAAATAAAATGAGATGACAGCTAAGAAAACCTCCCAGGAAGCTGAAGGCTGGAAAGGAGGTTTTTCCCTTGGGACAGGGATGGGGGCGGGGGAGGGGGTGTGGATACTCACGTAGTAGGTATTGTCATTTTCATTGTAGGCCAGCTTGACCACACCGTAGGAGCCCTGGATGCAGGGAGAGGACCACGACAATCAGAAATTAGGATCTGCGAGATGAGGACTCTAATATGGGTTACGCACTGGCAGCCCACGGACCACATCTCCCCTGCACGTGCGTTTTGTGGGAGCTCTAGTTTTTAGAAAGTCTGAATTAGTTGCCACCACTTAAAAACAGAAACAGTGGATATAAAAACCCAGGTTCCCAGCCTCAGAACACCAGGTGATCTGACCGTACGGAGCCATCATCGCGTCCGCACGTCCGTCTGCCCCAGACTCACGGCTCTCCGCTCTCCAGCCTAGTGGGCCTCAGGCACAGCGCCTCATGTCAACAGCGGGCTGCCGCCCTCGCCACTCCCTACTGCCAGACCCAGCATGCTTTGCTCATTTATATTTGCATTTGCTCTCTATTGGCATGTGAGCTTATTTAATTTTTTTTATTGATTTTAGAGGGAGAGGAAAGGGGAGAGGGAAAGAGGGAGGAATAGAGGGAGAGAGAACGCTAGAGATACAGAAAGAGAAACATCACTCTTGTCCTTCCATTTATTAATGCATTCATTCATTGGTTAATTCTTGTAGGCACCCTGGCTGGGGATCGTACCCGCAACTGTAGTGTATTGGGATGATGCTCTAACCAACCCAGCCAGGGCCGGGCATGTGAGTTTTTGACCCCTGTAATGACAATGCCCATTGGCTGAAACAAAGTGAAAAAACAGATGTGAGAGTACCTTAGGGGAGAAAAAACAACACTAATAAGGGGCGATGTAACTATCCCCATAGTGACGGGGGATTTCCCTGAATGCTGTGTGTGCTTCTGCAGAAGCACATTAGTATTATGATAGAAAAACAAAACACATGGACCATGAATCACGAAACCCTGCCCCGACCCTGGCCTCCATGCCTCCTCGCCTCCTCACCCAGCCCCAGCTCTAGCGGGCTCTGCCTCGTATCTGAGACATCCTGGCTCCTAGGATGCTTACCTTTCCGATTTCATCCTTCAGTGTGTACTGGTTCAGCTGTACACAATCCTGGAAAAAAGTAGAAACACACAGAACAGGAACTGTGAGTTTGCAACTAGATAAATTTGTCACAAACGAGACAAACACTTGAAACCAGGACCCAAATCAAGAAAGAGGGCCCTCCCCGGTCCCCAGAAGCATCCTCAGTCACTGGCCCCTCTGCAGAGAGACCAGTGTCCTGACTTCTAGCAGCAACTTTTGTAAGCTGCAAAAAAGGCATCAGACAGTATATGGTCTCTTAATACCTGTTTTTTAAAGCTTGTTTCCACTTATACAAGTTTCACTTTAAATTAAACAAGGAATCCATGACCACATTGCCCTGTAAAAATGTAAAGTGATACAAGAAGTGACCTTGGGACCAAGATTTCTTAGATGATACACAAAAAGTAGAAAACACAAAAGGAAACAAATAATAAACTGGACTTCATCAAAATGAAAGCCTTTGTTCTTTCAGATACTATTAAGAAAATGAAAGCCACGCACTAAAAGAAACTATTTGCAACACATATATACTTGGATATCAGACAAAGGACTGGTATCCAGAATATCTAAAGAACTCTTACAACTCATTAATAAGAGGACAATCCAATTTTTGTTAAAAATGGGCAAAAGATTTGGAAAGACATTTCTCCAAAGACGACACAAATGATCAAAAAGCATATGAAAAGATACTCAACATCATCGTGGGGAAATATAAATTAAAACCACTCCCAACAGATTGGTTAAAATCAAAGACTAACCAAAGAATTTAGAGCATACAGAACCTTCACACACTGCTGGTGGGCACTGAACGTGGCGCAAACTCTTTGAAAACCAGTTTGGCAATTTCTTAACATGCGCCTACATGAGCCAACTCCTCTACTTCTAGATATTTGACTAAAAGAACTGAAAACACGTGTCCAAGTAAAGACTTGTGTACAAATGTTCCTATCAGCTTTATTGGTAAAAATCAAAAGCTGGAAACAAACTAAAAGTCCATCAACAAGTAAATGGATAAACAAGCAGGGGCACACAGGAACAATGGAATTTTTTTTTTTCATCCTCAACCGAGGACATGCTTACTAATTTTAGAGAGGGGGAAGAGAAGGAGAGAGAAAGGGAGAGAAAGATGAATGAGAGAGAGAAACATCAATCAGTTGCTCCCGGTAAGCACCCCGCCCAGGGAACCCAACCTGAGACCTTCTGGTTTCCCGGACAATGTTCCAATGGAGCCACAACAGCCAGGGCTGAAAAAAATTTTTTTTTTAACGATGGAATTCCTGATACTTAGCAATAAAGAGGAAGGAACTACTGGTGTCTGCAACAGCATGGCTGAACCTCAACATCGTTAGATTGTGAAAGAAGAAGCTAAGTGATAAGAGTACATGCTAGATGATTCCACTTACATAAAGTCCTAGGACTAGCAAACTAATCTGTAACAGTAAAAACCATGTGGGCAGTGATACGCGGAAGGGGACGGGGAAGGGACGCATTGCTGAGTGTGCCGGAAAAATCTGTGATCTTGACTGGGTGACAGTTTTACAGGCGTACAAATACACCAAAACTGACCCAGTCGTCCACTTGACATATGTGCAGTGTACTTTAATTATACCTCAGTGTACTTGGGGGAATTGTTAGCTAACACAAGAAAAAAAACCTGGGAAAAGAAACATGATCGAACACAGGACTTCACGTGTTACAGATATGCCCGACACTTTCCTTGAGCCACCTCCACAAATGTAACCTTCTCCTCAATTCTTGCTGTCGGTCCAGTGTGTGAACTCCCAGGCTGGCACACACAGGCGTGGGACGCGGTGGGGAGGAGTAAACGGCGCCCCACTAAATCATTTCTCAACTTCCTTTCCCCACAGGGACTTCCACATCAGAGCACCCGCGACCTGCAGCGTTGGCCTGGGTCCTGCCCCCGGCGGCTCAGGGCCCTCCCCTCGCTGGCAGACATTTCCGGTGGTGTGCGGTGTTTCTCTCCAGTGTTACTTTCACTCTGCGTCCTGGCGGGGCGTGACAGGCAGGGCAGGTGCTGTCCTAAGGGGTCCCACGGCTTCCTAATCCAACACTCGCACGCTGCTGAATCCATCTTCCAGAGGTCCGCTCTGACCGCGCTGGCCCCAGCTCACCGCGGCGACCCCACACCTGGCCGCAGACGCCCTCCACAGCTCTGGCCTTGGCAGAGCTGCCTCCCTGCCCACCAAATACCAGTCTCCCCTTTCTTCCTTATAAGTGGAACTCGGGGGCCATATCCTGGGCTGAACAAGGTCATTGTCCCAGCCTCTCACAGCCAGGGGCGGTTGTGTGGCTATGTTCTGGCTTGTGGGAAGGAGGCAGAAGTTGTTGGGTAGTTACCCCTGTTAAAGGCCCCGCACTCTAGCTAACTGAACCCCGACCACCCTTCCCCCCACCTCATGCCTCCACTTCTGGGCCTCTGCACATGCTGTACCTTCCCTCTGCAGTGACCACATCCTGTGTGTGCCCACCTCCAATTGTGGAAGTTCTACCTGGCCCTCAAAATGTAGTTACATATCAGCCCCTTTTAAAAAGTCATTCCTGCCCCGGCTGGTGTGGCTCATGGATTGAGTGCTGGCCTGTGACCCAAGGGGTTGCTGGTTCGATTCCCAATCAGGGCACATGCCTGTGTTGCAGGCCAGGTCCCCAGCAGGGGGTGTCTGAGAGGCAACCGCACACTGATGTTTCTCTCCCCTTTCTCTCCCCCTCTAAAAATAAATGAAATCTTAAAATAGAATAAAAATTAAAAAGCCATTCCTGACTTCCAAGTTTCCTCCAATTAAATGCATTCATTCCTTCAACAGATATTTTCAAGCTCCTACTATGTGCCCACCATGGTGCAAGGCGGCGGCGCCCTACGGAGCTGACATTCCAGCTGGGGGAGACAGGCACGAAGGGACTGAACAGGCACACAGCATCACGGTCCAGAGGCGGGGGATGTGAGGCAAAGCCAACAGGGTGGCAGGACAGAGAAGGCCTGCGGCTCACAGCTGCTGAGGGGGGAGTCCGAGAGGCCTTTCAAAGGAGGTGACATTTGAGTTGAGAGTTGGACGTCAGAGGGACATAACCTTGCAAAGATGGGAGAGGTTCCAAGGAGAGGGGGCAGCAAAAGTATGAGCCCAACAAGGAACATGAGCCTGGGAATCTGAAGAATCTAAGGAAGCGGGTATGGACCTACGTCTGTGAATCAGGAGACGAGGTGGGGGTGGAGGGTCAGATCCCACAGGGCCCTGGGAACCTGGGGGCGGTCTGGGTTCTGACGGGCCTCCCAGAAGTTCACCTGAGGACCCAGTGAGAAATGCACACACACAGCGCTGAGCACTGTGCCTGCTGCGGGCACACATCCAGCGAAGGGGGCCTTGCTGTAAGGCTGGGGGGCCTCTCAGGAACCTGCCCGCCCCCTTTCAGAGCCCACAACACACCTTCCAACCACTGGCAGGTGCTTCTCTTCACTGGAGGCTCTCTCCGGCCCCGGGCTGCTCTGCGCACACTCAGGGCAGATCACCCACCCGCAGCAGCCTCTCTGGCGGATGGGTGCCATTGACGTAAAAGGCCCTGCTCCCGGCTCCCATTTTGGGTAACTCTGAGCTCATACTCTCCCTGGCTCCCGTGTTCCCCAGACAGATGGGGCCCAGTGCTCAGTGCTCACCGGCTCCGTGGCTGCATCCCCGGGTGACTTCCCTTCCCTCTCCTCCCTCCCCACCTGGGTTCCTGGCATCACCTCCCAAATCAGTTGGTTGCACCAGGAATGTTCTGCAGAAGCCTATCTAACGCGGAGACCCGGCTCGGCTCGGCTCGGCTGTCGCTGCTCACGCACCTGCATGCCAGTGATGGAGACGTGATGGGACTCCACCGTGGGCCGCCGGGGCAGCCGCGGGGAGGACTGCGGGGAGCCCACGGGCGAGGCGGGCTGGGCTGGGTGGGCGCAGCGGCCGTTGACGTCCAGCTGGGAGCGCTCCTGCAGGGAGAGCTTGCGACTGGAGAGGTGGGGCCGGGGCTGGGGCCCGGCAGCGTCGAGGGGGACTTCTCCGCCATAGGCCTCGAGGGGCCGGTCCCGGGCCAGGCCCTGGTCCGCGGCGCAGTCCGGCTCGCACTCGGTGACCACGATGAAGGACTCCATACCCAGGCGGATGCTCAGGGACGAGAGGCCGCGCAGCGCCTCGCACGGCTTCTGGCCTTGGCTGCTGCTGTCGCCGCCGCCCACGCCCCGCAGCTCATCCTGGGGGGCGGCCCGCTCGCTGCTGGGTTGGCTAGAGACGCATGATGACATGGTGCGTGCGCGGACCTCATGGGATGCGGCCTCGCCGGGGCACTCCCATCCGCGGCGCCGCCTGCGGAGAGAGGAAGGGTCAGCGCCCCGCCCACTGCTGCCCATGACAGCGCCTCGTTCCTGCCCGTGTTGCCGTCCATCCCAAAAAATCCGGCAAAACCTGACCTCTGGATCGATACAGAAACGAATATGCCACATTTCCTTGGTTTAAGTCTCTCCGCACACGTATAACGAGAAACCAAACCTCTATTCCAGAACGAACCAAGGAACCACGTGTGACAGAATCTCAAAACAGAGCACGCGCGCCCCCTACAAAGCAGGGCAGCTATTTCCAGCTCAGGCCAACTCCTCCCAAGCCGGGACGCGGGCCGAGGGCTGCCTGGTTCTCCGGCCGCCCACCCTTCTTTTCAAAAGAAGCCCTAAACCCAGAATGTTAGATGACATCTCAAGATTTTTTTTCCCCTTAATTAGCCATTATTTAAAATATTTTTTAATGCAAAGGACACTCCGGCCTGGTGACCTCTGGGCGGCATCACTTCACTATGGCAACAATGCAAACAGCACTTCGCAGTTTACAAAACAAATTTCACATCAGCATAATCTCCCAAGGGTCCTAAATTGCTGGTTTGCTATTATAGCCCCATTGAGTAAATAGGGAAACTGAGGCTCGAGAGAAGGAAAGGGATTTGTCCAAGGTCTCCTAATGAAAAGCCCACATACCCAGTAGCTGGGTCTCTTAGCCAATGATCCTCAACTGGGAAGTGGGGGTCCAGGGTCACATCACACCAAGGACAGGCGCCAGGACAGTGTGAGCCGGGGCATCTGTGTTGTCTGAGGGGCCAGACTTGATATCTCTATTATCTAATGTTTTCCTCGTTCAGCTGGTGCCTGCCAGACAGAAGGCAAACACAGGATCCAAACCGTTGATATCAAACAGCTTGGTGGTTCCTCAGAAAATTAAACAGAGAATCACCACATGACCTCGCGAGTCTGTTCCGAGGTATATGCCCAAAGAGCGTGAGTCACCGCAGCCCCGGGAAAGCGACCTCCGCGCCCGGCCGCAGGCGACCGGCGAGCACCGTGCGGCCTGCCCACGTGGCTGCATGGGACCCAGGTCCCGAGAGGAATGAGGCACTGACACGTGCCGCTGTCTAGACAAACCAACAACATCATGTGAAGTGAGGGAAGCCAGGCCCAAAGATCACGTCTGTATGAGTCTATCTATACAAAATTCTTAGAACAGGCAAACCCATGGAGACAGAAAGTAGATTAGTGGTTGCCTAGGACTGGAGAGGCAGTGGGCGGAGGCGGGGTGACTGCTCGCGGGCCAGCGTCCCCATTTGGGGATGAAAATGTTCTGGAACTAGATAGATTGTGAATGTACTGAACCATGCCACTGAATTGTGCATAATCATTTTAAAATGGTCGATTTTTAAAAAGATTGACAAACTCCCTTAGACTATCAATTCCTTCTGTCTCTGGGACAGAATATTAACCTTTGGTTCATGTGTTTGACAAATTCTGCTGGACAAATGTCACAGGTGCGGCTGGAATTCAGGGAGGACGTCGACAGATGGGGACAGTGGCAGCTTCACGCCAATCACCATGTCACCACAGTGCCGAGAAGAGTGGCTTTAGGAATAAACTTTCTCTTGGTGACACTGCATGGCAGTGCGGGGACAGAGAGAAAGGTGCAGACTGGAGCAGAAAGCCAGGGCTCCCTGGAGGAACCGCACGAGGGGCAGAGAGATGCCACTTGCCCTCCTGGGGGCAGCTTCCGTCAGGCCACCTAGACAGCGATGTGGGCAGATGGGGTCCCTGCTCTTGCGGAGCGAGTTAAGACCAATGGGAAGGCGCTGAGAAAATAACATGTGTCCCCACCTGGATACGGCCGCGATTTGTGAACACAGTTCGCGCTACGGGAACAACAAAGCCCCACCATGTGACACGGTGCTGGGCCGCGGATTCAAACGACCAAGAAATGGTTCGGCGCGTCCTCAGAAAGCTGAATAAAGAACTATGGCGGGACCCAGGAGGTCTTGTCCTAGGTGTCTGTGCTAACAGGAAGTGAAAGCAAGACTCAGAGGCACACACGCCCGTGTTCACGGCAGCATTACCCGCAGTAGCCACAAGGTGGAAACAACCCAAGTGCGTGTCAGCTGAGGCTGCATAAACAGGCGGCGGTGCCTCCCTGCACTGGATTATCCGCTGTAACAAGGAATGAAGCTCTGACAGGTGCTACGCCCGGATGACCCTTAAGGACGTGCTGAGTGAAACAAGCCAGCTGTTAAAGGACAAATACTGCCTGGCCTCACTCACGTGACAGACCGAGAGTAGGCAAATTCAGAGACAGAAAGTAGAAAGGAGGTTACCAGAGGCTTGGTGGAGAGGGGAACAGGGAGTCATTGTTTAAGGGGCACAGAGTTTTCAGATGATAAAAAAAGTTCTGGAAGAAGCAGTGATGGTTGCACAACACTGTGAATTTAAAATGAATGCCACTGAATTGTACACCTAAAAATGGTAAATTTTGTGTTATGTACACTTTGCCAAAATTAAGAATAGTAAACCTACAATGAAAGCCTTTTTTTTTTCAACTATCAGATAGGCAAAGACAAAAAATGTAATAACAACATTATTTTGGTGAGGCTCTGGGGAGTATGAATTGGTACCATCCTTACGAAGGGAAATTCACCAAAATTTAGCAAAATCCCAAATGCACACACCTTTGACTGAGCAATGCCATACCTGAGTGTTCATCCTATAGACCACCTCACACATGTGAAATTTAATGTACGTACAACGTGCCCTGGCCAGTGTGGCTCAGTTGGTTGGGTGTTATCCCGCAAACCAAAAGATCACCAGTTCGATTCCTGGTCAGGGCACATGCCTGGGTTGTGGGTTCAGTCCCCAATCAGGGCGCATACAAGAAGTAACCAACCAATGTTTCTCACATCAATGTTTCTCTCCTTCCCTTTCTCCTTCCCTTCCCCTCTCTCTAAAAATAAATGAATATAATCTTTAAAAAATGATGTACATAAAAGATTGATTTCATAGTGTGGTTTTAAAGGACCATCCACAGGGGGCTGGGTAAATACAGCGAGGTACATGCATCCCAGGAGAAAACCATGGATTTATTTTAAAAGAGGTAACTGCACATTCTAACACGAATGAGCTCCAAGTCACGCTGTTACATGGAAAAAACCAAAACACTAGTATGCAGCTGTTGGCCCGGGGGCAAAGGCCATATATGTGCCCATAATTGCTTATGCAAAGCAAACTTCTGGAAAGGTACAAAGAAAATGGTAACAGTGAAAACTGTTGTCTCAAGAGAAAACTACTGGTTTGCAGAAGTGGGGAATCTAGGTGGGAGGGACTTACTTTTCACTGTATTTACCTTTACTTAAAAAGTAAAAATTCACCCTGGCTGGTGTGGCTCAGTGGATTGAGCCTGCAAACTGAAAGGTCGCTGGTTCGATTACCAGTCAGGGCACAGGCCTGGGTTACAGACTGGGTCCCAGGTGGGGGTGCGTGCGACAGACAACCAATCAACGTATGTCTCATACACGATGTTTTTCTCCCTCTCTTTCTCCCTTCCTTCTCCCTCTCTAAAAGTAAGTAAATAAAATCTTTTTTTTTTTAAGTAAAAATTCAGAAATGACGTTTTAAAAGAAAGAAGGTAACTGTAGCCACGATAGAACGCAGGGTGATGAGGCCTAGCAGCTGCCCACAGCGGGAGAGGCGGGGGAGCCGCTGGCCGCCTCCAGCTCCTCTGCCAGACCCTCTGTGCCTGAGAAAGAAGCCGTTATCCGTGTCCTGTCCTGGCTTCCCTGTCCGTGAGGGAACACGGCGCAAGTTCAAGGCTCTCAGTGGCGCCAGGTACTGTCACTTTACATATCCTTTTCATGGTCCTGGGGTCCCAGGAGGGGAAAAGCAGGAACCCTGAAGTGTTCCTGCTTAGACTCACCATGGAGGATCGACGCAGCCTCTCTTGGCCTCGGTGTTCTTACCTATGAAATGGGCGCTCACCCGGTAGTCATAAGGATTATTGAATGAACTATGCACTCACTATCCTGCCTGGCATGCGGTTAAGTGCTCAAAAAACTCTACTTTCCACAAACACCTATTAAATGCCCACTGCCTGCCAGGCTGTGTTCCAGAATGTTCCTATGAAGTTCTGGTGTCCGAGTGCGCCAGCCTGCTGTTGGGGGGCTTCCAGGGCCCTGGTTGTGAGCCCGCCCGCCCCAGGGTAGCAGCCTCAGGGGCCGGCCCCCCCTCCCAGCCACCGGACAGGGCTGCAGAGTTCCTGAAAAGAAAAGGAGCCTGGCAGCACCTGAGAAAGTTAATGGAGGGTTTTTTTCTCGTCAACAGAAAAACAATTGCTTATCGATCTCCACTCCAGGCCAAGGACACCAAGGCATCCGCCCCCAGCAAAGCTGCTTTTAATCAGTCTCCTTGACACACTGGCGTCTGGCCTGGCCTTGGCTTTTGAGGTCTGGAGGGAGGAGGAGCGGAGATGCACCCTGGCCGGACTGCGTCGGGCGCTCTGCGCTGCAGGGCAGCTGTGCCCTGGTCTCAGGAAAGGGAGCTCAGCCGTCAGGGCTGCAAGGCCACAGGGAGGCCGCTGGGCTGCCAAGAGGCCTGGCAGGCAGGGCTCGGCCATCCAGCCTGAGTGCAAGACCCTACAGGGTCACAACCCTATAAAGGTCGCTGTCAACACTCCCCAAGAGAAAAACGTTGTAAAAAAGACAGCAGTTTGCGTTTATAACAGCAACAGCTGACGCCCAGCCAAGCACTCATCACGCACCAGGCACGGCTACCTGCCCCGCCTGGGTCACTGAGCCTGCACTCGCCCCTGCGCCGGAAGGAAGGACTGCCGGGCGTTGCATTCCAGGGCTCCAGGGTGAGGGGGCCCCCCACAGAGATGCTTGGGTTGGACAAGATGCCAAGAGCGCTCTCCCCTGGGCCTCCTGCCCCAACCCCGGGTCCCGCCCCCACCCCGAAGGCCTCCCCCAGCGCCCTTGGCCGGCAGCCCCGAGCTCCCCTCCCCTCTCCTCTCACAGG